AAAAAACCATGCCAACCTCAATCTCTCGTTCTTATGGAGGTGTAAAAATGCATCTGGGCTGCTCACACTTCAGGCTGCAGATGGGAGTCTCACATGACTGAACTCTCTTCCATGCAAAAATCCTCCCTGCACACAGAAACCCTAGAAACCTAGGGTTCTAAATTAGCTTTCTCTGTGAAATGCTAATTTTGTATGGAGAGAACCACCAATGTACACTCACACCTGTAATCTAAAGATGTAGAGCCCTCACACATCGCTTAGCGACAGCTGGGCCTGGGACATTGTCAGGAAATTATATATTAAGCCGCCTGGAGGAAGTTAACGAACGGAAACAGCTCAGCAAGTGGAACAGAAATCAACTCCATCCTCATTTAAAGAGTCAGCACAAAGATTAGTTTCACCCAGGGCTTTTTTTTTTCCAGCCGGAACTCACCCAGAACTCAGTTCTGGCCAGTGGCGTAGCGTGGGTTGTCAGCACCCGGGGCAAGGCAAGTAATTTGCGCCCCCTAACCCGTGGATTTGCGCCCCCTAACCCTAACCCCCAGATGTTGCGCCCGGTGCGGCCGGCCCCCCCTGCACCCACCACACTACGCCACTGGTTCTGGCACCTCTCAGATGGGCACCATTGCTATTATAAGAGAACAAAGGAGGCATGCATGAGCTCGGGCACGTTTTTCTAGAAAAAATAGCACTGGCAGGACCATGGTGGGAGCCTCTTCCCATCTCTCTAAATGCTTCAAGACAGCCACTTCAGCTCCCTTGGGAGCTATCCTCCAATCTCCTTGACCACCATCCACTTTCCCCTGTCCTGGGGCAAAACCTGGCGACACTAAGTGGTTGGCAGTGGAAAGTGCAGGCGTGACTGAACAAACATGACAAATATTGTCACAGAATCACAGAATCACATCCAACTGTAGGGAAGGGACCATGAGGATCAGCCCCTGCAGTGCAGACATCTTTTGCTTGTGCAATAGCTGTACTATTTTATTCCACATCAAGCACACCAGGGCACAGCCAATGTGGTGTCGCCCAGATTTTGGGACTTCGACTCCCATCAGCCTCAGCCAGTGTGGCTAATAGTCAGGGATGATGGGAGTTGTAGCCTAAAACCTCCGGAGGGCGTCATGTTGGCTACCCCAGATATAGAAAGAGATGTCCAAATGGTAACAACCCCAGATACACACAGAGATGCTCAACATATAAGACCATAAAACGAACCCCGCTGGATCAGGCCACTGGCCCATCTAGCCAAGCATCCTGCTCTCAAAACAACCAGCCAGATGCCTATGGGAAGCCCATAAACAGGACTCTCCCCTCCTACGGTAGTATCCTGCAACTGGTATTCCGAGGCATATTGCCTCTGACTGTGGAGACAGAGCTGCTGAAGCAGTCCAGTTATACAGTCCAGTCCCACGTATGCTTATCCGAAAGGAATTCCCACAAAGTTAAACTGGATTAAGTCACGGGTAAATGCACACAGGGTGACAGCCTTGATCGTTTCTTGTCCTCTATTCCTCTAAAAAAGCAATATTCAAAGCGAAACAAATCTCAGTCATGCCCTGATGAAACACAGTAGGGAAACACCTGCTATGTACCACTAAATTTGGGGGAGATTCTCCCCCCTTTAAAAAAGTGCTCATTGTCATAACAACCTAAAGCAATTCAGATGCTTTGTAATAAGTTCTTTCTTTTTACAGAGCACCTTATTCTTTTAAGGCATCCGGTAATTATTACGTTCATGGTTCAACACGTACATACACAGAGAGACACCCAAAAATGAGTTTTTAAGATATAGACTCACTGCGAGGTGGAAACAGAAGCCTAGAAAGTAAATACCATCCACGCTCATGGAGACACAGGGATTTGCCCTAGCCCTCTGTGATCCCCGGTTAGAAAAGACCTTTGATAAAAGGCTAAAAAGCACCAGGATAAAAACCAGCCGGAATTTCTTTGCGATCACTCAGGGAAATCTGCAATTGCACCACAGTCAGAGCTTTCGTTTAAGCCTGGCTCACAAGCCAGCATCCAAAACGCATCCCTTCCCCATTCATAAATATATCTCGTTAACGAACTGCAGGCTGCAAAGGAGTGAGAATGGAGACGAATCCACAAACATCATGGCTTTCTTGCAGGACCTTCATTGTCAGAGCCGAGACAAAACGTCTTTCTGCCACGGTTTCCATAACGCGACACCCACGTTGCACACTGGTGCTGTGACACAGACTGCGATGTCTGCTGGCTTCTCCTGGAGGTGGGGAGGGAGACTGACAGCTTGTAAGGTCAGTGCCTGATTAAAGCAACGGGGGGGGGGGAGAGCAGGTAAATTAATCTGGATTTGACGGAGCAGGGCTGAAATTAGGGCTAGCTCAAACGGGGCCTTAAGAGGGCATTGGGAGTGTTTTGGGTTGGAGACACAACCTATGGGCAGTGCCATGATCCCTGTACCCAGCACTCAACCGGACACTGAGTTGGAGGCTACAGGGGCTCTAGATGGGAGTGCTGGGTTAAGGGCTCAGGCTGACTGGAGAAGAAAGGGAGACCAGTGTGCATTAAGCAGCTGAACAATAACTCCCAGTAAAAAGGTAAAGGTAAAGGACCCCTGACCATTAGGTCCAGTTGTGACCAACTCTGAGGTTGCGGCGCTCATCTCGCTTTATTGGCCAAGGGAGCCAGCATACAGCTTCCGGGTCATGTGGCCACCATGACTAAGCTGCTTCTGGTGAACCAGAGCAGTGCACAGAAACGCCGTTTACCTTCCCGCCGGAGTGGTACCTATTTATCTACTTGCACTTTGACGTGCTTTTGAACTGCTAGGGTGGCAGGAGCAGGGATCGAGCAACGGGAGTTCACCCCATTGCGGGGATTCGAACCATCGACCTTCTGATTGGCAAGTCCTAGGCTCTGTAGTTTAACCCACAGTGCCACCTGTGTCCTAATAACTCCCAGAGGAACCTCCAAAACCATCAAGGCTGACCCATCTATCCCTGAAAAGCCATATGCTGCCCACTGCATTCCAGCAGTCCAGGAATGCACTAGGAGGGAGGCTATGGAACAGAGGAGGAGTGGCTGCCTTCAAGCCAGAGGGTTGGCCCTTTAAGGCTCTGAAGTTCTCTCAAGGGGGTGGAGCCAGGAGGAGGCAGTCTTGGGACAGAGGTATAAAAGACCTCAGTGTGCTCCCGACCTTTGTTGGAGCCAGTTGCTCAGCTGGGGCAACCTTCAACCCACCTTGCTGCTTTCCCTGTGAGTTCTAGCATCGGGCCAGAACATGACAAGGGCACCTCTGGACTGTCAGTACCTTGTGGGAGGGATTCAAGGGCATGCCATGAAATTTAGGTTTGCACCACTGAAGTGAATTAAAGAGCCCAGCCACCCTAATACAAGAAATCTACTTTTACAAAGAAATGGACTTTTTGCTGTTGGGAAAGTGACAGGGGAATGGGTGGAAGAGCTAGACGGTTACTGGGAAGACGGATAAACACCCCACAAGCAAATCAGGATGAGTTCTCATAGTCATACAGCTTCCTGACAAACAAATCAGAATGAATGCTCAATAAATAGGTCATATGGTGAAGCCCTATGAAGAACAGGTGAGCTGAGCATCAACCTTGTCAGTGGAAGGCAAGATGGCATCAATGGATCTCTCAGCTGGCTTCCAAATGGTTCTTGTTCCTGTCTATAGCCCCGCCCTGCTAATCTCCAGCACCTACCACGGTTCAAATCCTGCCTCTGCCTGGGCACACTTTGTTCACATCAGCACTGTGTATTTTAAGCACTCTTAAAGAGTTGTGGCTTCCTGCAAAGAAACTTGGTAATTGTAGTTAGTTAATGGGGCCGAGAGTTGCTTGGAGGCCCCTCAGAGAGCTATAATTCCCACCACCCTAAGTAAACTACAGGCTGTCCTCCCTGTTCCTCACCTGGACTGCGGTTTGGGCAAGCTGTCCACTATGTTGGCAAGTAGCCGGAAAGAGCAAACAAGCTTGCTGTTGGTGAGGGCTGGGCTGGGCTTCTTGGCTGGCCCTTCCCTATGGGTTTCTTTGGAGGGGGGCAGTGACGTGAGACTGGAAGGAAGGGCAGAGAGACAGACAGGGCTGCCTCCTCCGCTTCTATTCTCCACTGTGGTTTTGTCAGCAGTCTCCAGAGCCGGAGACTGACAACGGTGAAAGACCTCACCCCAAGGATTGTGGAAGAGGAGACTGATGATGAAGTTAGGTCATTACATATCAAGGGATCTGATTATTTTTTTTACCTTGTGTCATCCAATTTTCTTCTGTATATAATTTTTTAATTAATTTTTTTTGTTTTACAATTTTAAATATCCATTTTACTTCCTTAAGATATGGCTTCCCTTCTTCTCTTTCCATGGTTCATTTTACATATCATATATATCCCTGCATATTTTATAAAAACTATACCATTTTGTATTCCATTATTGCATCCATCAAAACCTATTTACAATGTTGAATTTATCTTAATGCTGCCAGCATTTTCAGCTGTACACAATTATTTCCCATATATTCAATAAACTTTGCCAATCTTTTTTAAATGTATGTTCTTCTTGTTCTCTTATTCTGTATGTTAAAGTCTGCAAGTTGTGCATATTCTGTCAACTTAAGTTGCCATTCTTCTTCGGTTGGGACCTCGCTCATTTTCTATTTTTGGGCTAACCAAACATGGTCAACAGTAGTAGCATACATAAATAACCTTTCTTGACACCTGGGAATTTCAGTCTGAATTATCCCCAACAGAAAGGATTCTGGGTTTGGGGGGGTACTTTTAAACATTTTTTTCAATTCATTATGGATCATTTCCCATCATCCAATTTTCTTAATATTTTGTATACTTGTTGAATGATACAAACGAAGTTTAAATTGTTTTTTTAGCTCATCCCATTTGTGAGTTATGAGGGCTTGATATTTCAAAGACCCTAGTATATACATATTTACAAACAGCTGCATAGAATTGTCAGAATTTGCCTTAGGCAGGAAAGGTGTTTCATTTACCGTCTTGTGCCGCCATGTCTCTCTTGCTGTCATCCTCAGAGTCCTCTGTTCCCACGCACCAGTACATTCTGGGCTGCTGCTCAGGCGTTTCGAGAAATCTACTTTCTGATACATTTAATATCCAAAAATGAAGTTGTCGAAACTCAAAGGCGAGTGTCCAGCTTGGAGACTTGGGAAATCCTCGTTATGCAGCTTGGAAGAGAGTTGTTCTTTAAAAAGGAAAAAGGGGGAAAAAATCTAAATTAATCCTTCCAGCGGGTCAGGAATTAAAAACACCACGTTTTCTCCTGTCCCTCAGGATTCTTTGTTCCATACATCACTTAAAAACAGTTATAAATAACTTCCTTACGCAGAAGCTTTAATACATTGCAGCAACAGGTTCCCTGGAGTTTCACGCTCTACATTCTTGTCTAATTTTTATTCTATTTTTATGGTACGTATATGCAGTGCTTTTTTTCTATAAAAAGACTGTTTAGGGGTACTCTCATCTTCCTACTCATATTGAAATACTGCCCCTCAATGAGGCCAAACTTAGATTCACAAAATGTTTAGGGGTATGCGTAGCCCTGCTTCCCTCCCCCCCAAAAAGCACTGCCTATATGTATTGAAAGGGTGGGAAAGAACTTTGAGACTGGGCAGGCTTTCAATAACCCAAAGAAAGAAGCAAAAATGAGCTATGAGGAAGCAAATGGAAGGGTAACTGGAGGTTAGAATCTCTGGCTACAGTAAATGAAGCTTCTTTCCCAATGCTGGAATAAAGTTTTGCAGATAGTGTGTTCGGAAGGGAAAGCCTTACCTAGTAATTCCCTATTTAGAGATGGAGAAGGAATTTAGGAGTCCATTTAGAATCAGGGTTGTGACATTTGATCAATTAAAAAGCATGCTGTACAATGAAAAAAGGTGCCCCAGTTAATTGGCCAAGAACATGTTAAAGCTGTATTTAATATTGACTATTAAAAAAAAACCCACAGAGGGCAAAGATCACTTTAAGAGAGCCGCTCCTGTTATCTTAAGGTGCGTATCCTGGAAAAAAGAACAAAGACGCTCCAGATAAAGCTCATAAATTGTAGCTTATCCAAAAGTTCAACTCTATTCATCTGGGTGTGAACAGAGGCAATAGTTTACTGTTCTATGGCAGATGTTAATATATCACCAATCACAAATAGTGTGAAGGACCATTGTGCTCATTTTGCTACGCTTATACTTTACTCAGATGCCAAGATGGATAGCTCACTTGGATAGAGCGTGGTGCTGATAATGCCAAGGTTGCAGGTTTGATCCCCATATGGGACAACTGCATATTTCTGCATTGCAGCGGGTTGGACCAGATGATCCCCAGGGTTCCTTCTAACACTACAATTCTATGTTTACAGTATCACCAGTTACTGCTGTTGTCACATGGGCTGCCTTTGAGATGTGATTTTATTTTGTGGCATCTGTAAATACAGGCAATCCCTTTTCATTTATTCCCATTTCTGCTGAAGAATGTAAGTGGTGTTTTTATACGTCATTATAATTTTATAATTGTATCTATTTCACTCACTCCTGATTCTTTATTTTGACTTTCTTACTGAAAGCTCCTTATGTTGAACTATATCGTTTTGTTGTTCATATGCTTGTTTTTCCCTTTGTGTGTATTGCCTGTTTTTGTTGCTCGATAAACTTTCTTTTTGTAAAGAAAAGTTACTGCTGCTGTGGTCATTTTGCATCCATTTGCAGCCAATGTGGCACCTTCCAGACTCTGATGGACCTCAACACTCATCAACCCTGGCCAGTTGGAACCAATGGGACTCCAGCAACACCATTGGCTACCCCTGATTGAACCTAATTGCCACAGACTGTATTTTTGCATTCTATTGCCATTCATATCCGGCCTTTGCATTTCCTCCCCTCCCCCTTTATCTTCCTATATACATAAAAACATAAGGCTGTCATCACACAGCCCTCATCTGTAGTGCCACAGCATCACAATCCTGGATTTCTATGAGGAAGTGGACTGGAAAAAGGGGAAAGTGAGCTTAGTAGTTGCATGGGGTGGGAAGGAGAAGCTCTGGAGGGTAAATGTGGGTGAGGGGAATTGCAGGGGGGGCTTAGTGAGCAGAGCAAGAAGGGCACAGCTCTTTACATGTGTGTATGTGTGTATACACCTGACAACTGAGAGTGACACTCTGCATCTAGTGAAGTAGGCCGTAGCTCACAAATACTTCAACGTAAAGGTAAAGGGACCCCTGACCACTAGGTCCAGTCGTGGCCGACTCTGGGGTTGCAGTGCTCATCTCACTTTATTGGCCGAGGGGCCGGCGTACAGCTTCCGGGTCATGTGGCCAGCATGACTAAGCCGCTTGTGGCAAACTAGAGCAGCGCACGGAAACGCCGTTTACCTTACCGCCAGAGCGGTACCTATTTATCTACTTGCACTTTGAGGTGCTTTCGAACTGCTAGGTTGGCAGGAGCAGGGACCAAGCAATGGGAGCTCACCCCATCACGGGGATTTGAACTGCTGACCTTCTGATCGGCAAGCCCTAGGCTGTGTGGTTTAACCCACAGCACCACCCGCGTCCCTCTTACAAATACGTATCATGCCATAATAAAATGTGTTTTACTAATGTGACAAGCAGGCTCACATGGCTCCCTCTCTGGAAATTCTTTTTTAAGACCCTATCTGCTCCTGCACAGTGTGCAGCATATAAAAAACAGATGCTTTCTTTATTTAGAACTACTGTACCGTGTCTCCTCATATTCACAGAAAACCAACTAAGATCTCTTTAGCTGGGTGCATAGGCAAGTTGTCACCTGATGTTGCAGGCATCCAATGGGGAGTGTGCAGGTGTGAAACTGGGTCACCCAAAGCCATAGTGGGAACCAACAAATCTGCCTTATACAGCGACACCATTCTGAAACCCTGGAGAAACACTGCCAGACACTGTAGGGGGTACTGGGCTGGATGGCTCAATGGTCTGATCTAGTACAAGGCTGCCTATTGTTCAGGTTGTTAGCCCATCTAGTTCAGTATTGTCTGCACTGACTGGCAGCTGCTCTCCAGTGTTTCAGGCAGGGGGCGCTCCCAGTCCTACCTGGAGAAATTGGGGATTGAACCTGGGACCTCTGGTATGTAAAGCAGCAGCACTGCAACTAAGCTACAGTCATACCTCGGCTCCCGAATGCCTTGGGAATCGAACATTCTGGCTCCCAAATGATCGAAATCCGGAAGTGATTGTTCCAGTTTTCGAACATTCTTTTGGAAGCTGAACGTCCGACAGAGCTTCCGATTGGCTGAAGGAGCTTCCTGCAGTCAGTCAGAAGCCACGCTTTGGAAACTGAATGTTTCAGAAGTTGAACGGACTTCCAGAACGGATTCTATTCGACTTCCGAGGTACGACTGTATAGCTCTCCTCCATATTTCAGCATTTCCACTGCTAAAGTTCACATCACATATTCTGGGAAGCAGGAGAAAAGACAGAAAAGGGTTTTAGCAGTAATGTTATAAAGGTGTATGTAAAAATGGATTGTTGACAGGTGAAAATCCAAAGTTATAATATATTAAGTTAAAGGATTAAGACAAAAACAAAGAGGGAAAGGAATTGCTGAATTAACTAACAGAACTGGAATACAAAAAAGGGAGGTGTGAGGAGGTCAGGGAAGTAAGGAAATGAAATGTAAGGCATGGAAAGATTGATGTGTTTTTTAAGTGTGTTTTATCTTTTTTCTGTATTTTGTATTTTTTTTCCTTTTTTTCCCTTTTTCTTCTTTTTTCTCTTTTTATTTATGTAATCTTTTTTTTTTGAAACTTTAATAAATATCATTTTTTTAAAAAAAGAGAAAAGACAGAAAAGAAGCTGTACAGAGGTCAAAGGACGATCTCCGAGGTGCTGGAGCAAACTGCAACCTGCATCTGTCTGGCTCTTCCACGGCAACCACAAGCCCAGTTGAAAAGCGTAGCAGGAAGTAGCAAGACAGATGGCAGAGAGGGGAAGTGGGGAAATCCAGATTGTGTGGGCAAAGGGCAGCTTCAATTTGCTACCATTCCTTGGGGGGGTGCAAAAAGAGGTGGGGGCACCTTTGTTTTTGGTTTTGAAAACAGCTACACATTCAGCAGAAATCCATGCACATCCATCCCCCATCATTGCATCTCCGTGCAAGAAAATACTGCACCTGTTGGATTTCTGGCTCCTTCCCCTCTGCGTAGCCTTCAGGCAGCCACATGTCAGTAGCGGGTGGGGCCAGAAGCAAAAGTGGGTGGAGCAACAAATGTAAACGTTGCCTTGTCTGCAGTAGGCTACCTGCTCACTTACCTACCTGTCTGTTGTTCTCTCATTGTGCTAAAGTTGGCATGGCCATCTACTGGCAGTCACACAAACTGCAATGTGTTGACAACCTTGCGCGCATACACACACACACACACACACACACACACAGTCATACCTCATGTTACATTTGCTTCATGTTACTTTTTTTCCAGTTTGCTTCCCCTGGCAATCCGGAAGTACCGGAAAGGATTATTTCCGGGTTTCGTCGCTCGCGCATGCGCAGAAGCGCTAAATCATGCTTTGCGCATGAGCACAAGCGACAAATCGCACTGCACAACTGCGCAGATACAGCGCTTCAGGTTGCGGGCTTTTCATGTTGTGAACAGGCCTCCGGAACGGATCCCGTTCGCAACCAGAGGCACCACTGTGTGTGTGTGTGTGTATATATATATATGTGTGTGTGTGTGTGTGTGTGTGTGTATGCATGCGCATTTCCCCAAACAATTTCCCCCTGATAAGAATGCATTTTGTACATTAGACTGAATAACATATACATTTTCGTGCACATGTGTGGGCTGAAGAACTGCATCGCAAAATTTGGAGAAGTGTGAACTTCAAAGGAAAGCTGTGTTTCAGTTCATGCATTGCTGCAGGAAGTGCAAAACCGGTGGGTTCATATTAAAATGCAAATTGAACAACTTTCTCCCTCATCCCTACTAACAAGGAGATAAAGTGATTTTCTTTGCGGGAAGTGGGAGGGACCTTCAGGTGCTTAATTAATACATGTCAAAACTATTCCAGAAGGCACAGGGGAAGGGGGAAACTGCCAACCCTAATCCCACTACAAGGTAATTCATCCATAATCACAGACAAGAGAGTCCAATTACCTGATAACCTGTTCTCTTGCTTTTAATTCTCTTGCTTCAGGTTGAGCTTAAAATGCCTGTTACTTCTGGATCTAACAAAATTTAGCATATATAGTTCAGGAGATGGGAGCCTGTGGCCTTCCAGATGTTGCTGAACTACAACTCCCATCAGCCCCAGCAAGCAAGGCCAGTGGCCAGGGATGATGGGAGATGTAGTTCAGTAACATATTGAGGGCCAAGGGCTCCCAACACTGAAGTGACCTTTCTGGGATGCAAACAAGTCTAACAAATAATAATGGTGATAATATTAGTGCTAAACCAGGTGAGGGTAGCTGATGGGTTTCAAACCCTCAATGAGTTAGAGACTTCCCCTGACTGTGAAGACAGACTCTGGAGAATTGAGCGGACGAGACCAACGGTCAAGAAAGCGGTTTCTGCACGTGGTATAGAGAGAAATAAGGGGCAGGTGGGGCTTATCAACCTGGGAAGGTAGTCCATCTAGGACAGCGGTTCTCAACCTGTGGGTCCCCAGATGTTGTTGGACTACAACTCCCATCCTCCCTGAGCTCTGGCTTGCTAGCTAGGGATGATGGGAGTTGTAGTTCAACAACTTCTGGGCACCAACAGGTTGAGAAAGGCTGATCTAAGAGAAGGAAAACTCTGATCCTAAACCTCCACTGCCTTGAGGGATATCTTTGGGAGAAGAGAAGGTTAAGGAGTAAAGACAAATCCAGAGCGGAGTCGCTAAGACGGATGGATGGTGCCTTCCGGCAACTCCTGCAGCCATGCTGGTGTCCAGCATATTGCTCTGCTTTCCTTTGGACCACATCAGGGAGGGTGAGGAGGGAGGGGAGTCTTGTCATGTGGGCAGCCCATGACCTCCAGATACACTGCCCAAGCTTGTGCCCTGGGGATGTCATTTTGGTGCTGCTAACACAGCAGTTTGACTTCACCCCCAGAGGCACACTCCGAGACAGTTGCATGCGAACGCCAACAACAATCCTTACACTGGCCCTGGATGGCAGGCCAGTTTTAGCATTCCCCAAACTTCAGACAGACGGCCAAAGCTGAGAGCAAAAGCCTTGCTGAATTGCTGCACAGTGAGTTTCAAACCAGGTTCTTGCAACGCAGGAGGCTGGACTAGAAAACCCTCAGGGGCCTCTTCTGACTCTACAATGCTATGACTCCTCCTGATACAATGATTACATAGCTTAGCCGTGGTAGGTTATAACAAGTTTGGGGAAACTGCTCTTTTACTGGAAGTGAATGTACAGTAAACATAGAAAAACAGAATAAAAAAATTCCTTCCAGTAGCACCTTAGAGTCCAACTAAGTTAGTGATTGGTATGAGCTTTCATGTGCATGCACACTGCTTCACACACGAAAGCTCATAACAATAACTAATTTAATAATAATAATAATAATTTATTATTTATACCCCACCCATCTGGCTGGGCTTCCCCAGCCACTCTGGGTGGCTTCCAAAAGAATATTAAAATACTTTGATACATCAAACATTAAAAGCTTTCCTAAACAGGGCTGCCTTCAGATGTCTTCTAAAAGTCTGGTAGTAGACTTAGTTGGTCTCTAAGGTGCTATAGGAAGGAATTTTTAAATTTTGTTTCGACTACGGCAGACCAACACAGCTACCTACCTGTAAATAGAAAAACAGGTAACAGACATAATCAGCTCATTATCCTACGTAATATAAAGAGTATAAAAAGAGTAGGCACCAATAACCTTAAGGTCAGTCCCATTTTGCAATAAATAGGAGATTCAGCCTGGTACTAAAAGCCTCACTGTTGGCAAACAGTTTTCAAACATTCCTTTCGCCTCTCACAATCGTAAGCTCCACCTATGGCTTATCTTAAAACCCTTGGCATGGGTTTTTTTTTTTTTTCATTTTGGGGAAAGCACAAACAAGGCGTTGCAACAAAATAATAATAACAGCCATTTCCATTTTAGAAGAAGTATTGTAGCTTCCATGAACCAGAAAGTAAAGGTGCTTGTTCTTTTCAATAGCCACAAGACTGACTTCCATGACAGCCCACATCAAAGTTAGAAAGGACAAGTGGGTACAGCAACAAAACGTTGCAGTGTATCCTGGTCTTATAGCAGGACTTTTCCTTTTTGGGGTGCCAGTGGTCAGCTGGACATTCCCTCTCCAAAATACTCCATTCCACGTGCACATTTTCCATTTTACTCTAAGTGACACTCAGGAAACTCTATCCTCATTGGGTTAGTTTTGTGGGGGGGGGGTTGTCCCCTTAGGGTTTTTTGTAAATATTTTTTGGACTTCTGCAAAGCTCAGGAGTACCCATTATTCCCATGGAACATCTTGCCCGGATTAATAGGGGGATGTCACTGGGCTGATAAGATCAATTGAACCACTGTTTGAAGCAGCAGAAAATCTCCACCCACTTGAAGAAAAAGGGCAAGGGGTAAAATTATTTTGTAGAAGTAAACCCACTCCAAGGTCACGCACTTTCTGACTCCTTCAAAGACAGATCCGATTTTCTGGGACATTTCTATCCCACCCCCCAAGAATTACTTTTTAAAAAGCCTGGGTTGAACGCTTTGACCTAGCATTAGTTCTTCAAAAATGCAAATATACCACTTCCTGAACAGGACTGTTTTAGACTACGGTGCAGGGATGAGGAACCACATGTTTGAAGAGATTAAAAATACACACCATAGTAGGTCTACGGATGGGAGAGGCATTGGATTCCGTTAGAAATAATAATAATAATAATAATAATAATAATAATAATAATAATAATAATTTATTATTTGTACCCCGCCTATCTGGCTGGGTTTCCCCAGCCACTCTGGGCGGCTTCCACAAAGACCAAAAATACACTAAGATGTCACACATTAAAAACTTCCCTGAACAGGGCTGCCTTAAGATGTCTTCTGAATGTCAGGTAGTTGTTTATCTCTTTGACATCACAGGGCGGGCGCCACTACCAAGAAGGCCCTCTGCCTGGTTCCCTGTAGCTTTGCTTCTCGCAATGAGGGAACCGCCAGAAGGCCCTCGGCCCTGGACCTCAGCGTCCGGGCAGAATGATGGGGGTGGAGATGCTGCTTCAGGTATACTCGGCTGAGGCCGTTTAGGGCTTTAAAGGTCAACACCAACACTTTGAATTTAAAAGCTTGCTTGCATGCTCCCTACAGGCATCTAGTTGGCTTCTGTAAGAGCAAGACGCTGAACCAGATGGGCTCTGGCCTGATCCAGCAGAGCTCTTCCTGTGGTCTTATGTAACGGAAAACCATGACTCCCAGGCCCCAGGGAAATTAAGTCTGGCCTTGACTAGACCCAGGGCCTTTTTGGCCATGGCCCCAGCCTGGTGGAACACTCTCCCGCAAGAGACCAGGGCCCTGCGGGTTTTGACATCTTTCCGCAGGGCCTGCAAGGCGGAGCTGTTCCGCCAGGCCTTTGGGCAGGATGCAGTTTGACTTATCAGTACTTTCCTTTGTATAAAACAAGCCCAAAGGAGGCCCCCAACCCGCTCACAGGTCCTTGTATGATCAGTGGAAACAGTTGGTCCTGGCAAGTATTAACCACCCTCAATTCCAACCTGATAATTGTCACCTGCTCAGATTTTAACTTGTCTGAATTAATTTCAATTAACTGATGTCTGTTTTAATGCATATTGTGTTGTTTTTCTGATGTTTAGCTGCTCTGAGCCCGGCCTCAGCCTGGAAGGGCGGGATACAAATAAAATTTATTATTATTATTATTTGCACTTTCCAAAACAGTAGGAGAACCAAAACACACCCATCCGTTAAAATTCACGCTTCTCTTAATTTTGCAATGCAGCTCTTCAGCCAAGTACAAAAATGCACCTACCGGTGTAAAGTGTGCAAACAAAGGCATATATTTGTAGGTAGGGAAACATACCAAAGAATTATATTACGGAACATTGCTCTGCAAAAGTGTGTTTATTATTTATTTGGATAACTTCACACAAAAATGCTGATGAATATGCTTAAAAACAAAACAGTCCCAGGAAAATTCACCAGCATTTTAGTGTGAACTGATGTGAATTAGCAGAGAAACGAATTTAAGATTGGGAAAATGAGAAAATCAGAGGAACTGAAATTGACATATTTGCCCATCTCCGCTGCCAAATCCCAGCACACACAAAAATCCATGATGTCAGGAAGAAGCTTACAATGTATACTATTTGGCTGTCTCAAGTCAGTGGGAAACTTTTTGGTTCTTCTACTCTTCACTGGATACATACACAGAAAAAGAGAACAAAGTGAAAACCACCAGCATGCTAATGTAATACTATGTTCCATGTTATTTTTGTTTTAATGTATCTACAAAACTTAATGTGGCTCATTTACTGTTACATTTTTCTTATGTGGCTTATCCATTATTTAATCACAATCAAGGCCTTGATCCAATGCACACTTATTTACCTGGGAGTAAACCCCCTTGAGGGACGCGGATGGCGCTGTGGGTTAAACCACAGAGCCTAGGGCTTGCCGATCAGAAGGTCAGTGGTTTGAATCCCCTCAACGGGGTGAGCTCCCATTGCTCAGTCCCAGCTCCTGCCCACCTAGCAGTTCGAAAGCACGTCAAAAAGTGCAAGTAGATAAATAGGTACCGCTCCTGCAGGAAGGTAAATGGCGTTTCCGTGCCCTGCTCTGGTTCGCCTTAGTCATGCTGGCCACATGACCCGGAAGGTGTACGCCGGCTCCCTCGGCCAATAAAGCAAGATGAGCGCTGCAACCCCAGAGTCGGCCATGACTGGACCTAATAGTCAGGGGCCCCTTTACCTTTTAAACCCCCTTGAACACAGCAGTGCCTATTCTTGAGCAAATATCCATAGTTTGATCAGGTTGCACAAGGCAAGGATTTGGGCATTAAAAAAATACTTCTGGTCAAACCTGTTGAGTAAACCCTCTCACTTCCACACCAGCAAGACAGCAGTAGCAGCAGCTTCTGAAAACAATCATTTTAAAACTACAAAAACAAGCTAACACAAAATACAACTGAGTGCCTGAGGTTTTTTTTCTTTGTCTTCCCTCCAAATCCCCTTTCCTTTTGTGCCTTTCCTTTTAGGATGTCAACATGACAGCACTGTCTTACGACTGAACTTTGAGAACCACTTTGGGGTCTTCCCCCACCCGCAACTGAAGATTGGGATAAAAGTACTTGCCACAAAACAGACGAAGAAACAGCCACTGGCAAAATCCAGCACATGAAATTGAGGCATGCAAATAAAATTGGGAAGCTGTTGACAGTCTAAGCCATGGGTAGGCAAACTAAGACCTGGGGGCCGGATCCTGCCCAATCGCCTTCTAAATCCGGCCCGTGGATGGAATCAGATTGTTTTTACATGAGTAGAATGTGTCCCTTTATTTAAAATGCATCTCTGGGTTATTTGTGGGGCCTGCCTGGTGTTTTTACATGAGTAGAATGTGTGCTCTTATTTAAAATGCATCTCTGGGTTATTTGTGGGGCATAGGGATTCGTTTATTTATTTATTTTTTTCAAAATATAGTCCGGCCCCCCATAAGGTCTGAGGGACAGTGGACCGATCCCCTTCTGAAAAAGTTTGCTGACCCCTGATCTAAGTTGATAGACACAAAGCATACCTTGTACATGAAGCACTTATCAACACCCCCACCGCAAAGATACCTTACCTTTACTCCCAAGGCAATTCTGGGAAGCTTGGAAATCCCCATCCACCTTTATCTGTTCCTTTAACAGTAGCTTAAGAAAAGCCTTCCGGATCAGACCAATAGCCCATCTTAGAAGTCCAACATCCTATTCTCACAGCGGCCAACCAGATGCCCCAATACATCTCTCTCCTCTTCTGCACTTTCCAGTTCACCATCACACTGCCATCATGGCTAGTAGCCTTGATAGCCTTCTCCCTGCGTGAACTTGTCCAGGGAGACCGACCTGAACAAACGCAAATGAAGCCTTTCCCTGGAATAAATCTAAGCGATTTGGGGTAGGGTGGGGAATTTTCTCTCTTCTTATCTGTGTGAACCCAAAGCCACCGCGGGTGCAGATTGCTTGCGGGGGTGGGGCGCGGGCGGGAGGAGGAGGAGAGCATCCTAACTTTCCAAGAAGTTGCACACAGCTCGCCCGTCTAGCCAACTTGGATGGAAAAGTGGAAAAAGAAATAAAGCGGAGAGAGAGGGGGCGGAGACAACGAAGTTACAGAAACCGAGGTGGAAGAACGGCCAAAGGAAACCCGATCCTTGCCGGAGCAAAATATTATTTTACGAGAAAGCAACAGCAGCCAGCAACACGCGCGCTGCGGGTCTGTGCGCAATCTGTCCCCCCCCCCCCCATTCCAGCAACTCTCCCCGCGTTCTCCTCCCTCCTTTAAGCGAAAAAACATTCCGCCCATGCAAAAAAACATAATCCTATCCTGGAACCCCTTGCAAGCAAATAAATAAATAAGCAGCGTCCCTCCATAATAAAGCTGTAACGCCAGGCACGCTTTGCTGGGAGCAAAGGGAGTTGCCATGAACTTTGGAGCGCGTTCTTAATGACTCTTCCATCGCCCCTCTTTTGGTAGTTTTGGGTTTTTTGCACGGTGCAGCTCTGCTTGAATGAGAGGGGGGCGACGAGGTAGGATGGAACAACCTAAAAATTAAAAAAGGGTGGGTGGGTGGAGAGAGGACTTGAGGCGCTGAGCGTCCGTACCTGCTATCCTGGGGAAAGCAGCCCCCTCCCCTTCTCCTCGCACGCGTAAAAGCGCATCTGCTGCTAACCGGCGAGGGTAGGGGGTTCCTCCTTCTCCAGGCTCCGGACTTAGCGGCGGTCGCAACTTCCTCGATCGGCGCTGGGCGTGGGCAGGGCAGGGAGGCGGCGAGGCGGGTCTTTGCTCTCTCCGAGGCTCCTGCGGCGGCGCGCCAGGCAGCGGGGAGGAGCGGCGCCCAGAGCGCGCTCTAGAGGAAGCGAAAGCGCAGCCCGGTCCTGCAGGGCGAGACTGCAGCAGCAGTAGCTGCCTGCGGGGTTGCAGCGGCTAGTTCCGAATCTGCTCACAGTCCTCGCTGTATTTGTGCCCCAAAGGCCCTTTTAAGGGGCGGCTACTTTTCTGCAAATGGGCAGGAAGGGGCGCTTTCCAAGCACTCTGATATCTCCCCGTTTTCCTCAGCTACACAGCTGCAAACGAAACGTTTTCAAATGTTTTGCGAAGTGCAATATTACAAATGTGACACTAGATGGCGACAGTGAGCCATGTCAAATTCAATGTATTTTTTAAAACGTGTGTTTTTGTTTTTTTAAAGCATTTTCACCGCTTTTCTTTTTTATATGTGTGTAGATCCCTTCCAGACTGTTGCCGGTTTTGGATGCCGTCCAAATAAATGCTGGTTGTGCGCTGAAAGGTGTTTGGGGTCCTTGCGCTACAAAGCCACCCCCTGCCTGTTGCGATAAGGAAAGTGGGGAGGAAATTGGTTTTAAATTTCATAAGATTGATACAATGCTAGATTGTTTTGTTTGCAAACAGACCTCAAGGCAGACGCGCTGGAAAATGGGGGATAACATTTGCATTTGTCTAACTTCCCCGCAAAGAAAATTGGGACAAATGGTCAATAAGTATCTGGCGGTGCTTCACCTCCCTACAACCCTGTGAATAATCTCATGAGTTTGAGCCCCACATTGGGGGAAAGATTCCTGCATTGCAGGGGGTTGGACTAGATGACCCTCGTGGCCCCTTCCCACTCTACAATCTAGAGTTCCGTTGTCTGGAGAGGTCAACTGCTGTCTGTTGCCCATTTGTAGCTCCAAATGGGACCTACAAAGTACAGAAGCTTTGCCTTTTATCTCCATCTTAGATCTAATTCCTAAAGCTTCCAACATCATTTGGGATCGGAGCCCCTTTTTTGTTATGCAAGGAAACAAATTTGTCATATTTGGAACCAGTTAGTTTAAACCTTAGGTTGTTTCTTTAAATTTTCCTCAGTAATTGGGCACCCCCTTGGGAGGATTTCCCCACGCCCTGACTATTTGTGCTCTTGCCCATTGTTTTGTATTGCCTATTCTTGGCGCTGTAGCTGACCCCTGGGTGGTCTAAAATACATGCCAGACATGCTTTCCATAGTATCTCATCCTGAACCCCAATATAACATGTTTCCCAGTTTTTAATTCCTGCTCCCAAGGTATCTCAGTGAATTTCAGACCAGCTTTAAGAGCTGCTTCAACTGAAATGCCTCAAAATCAGGTTTTACACGAGGCATTCCCAATCCATACTTTTTGCATTTTCCGTGAAGTGTCCTAAACCACTGTTTTGTTTTCCCTTTGGTTGCGAACAAGTTTTAAGTTTATGTTCTTATGAGGTGCAGATCAGTTTGAAAAGATCAAATTGTTCAGGCATCCTTACCCGGCACCAGAATCTAAGTTTTGCTTAACTGTTTCAACATTATGGAAATCATGTCTCATACAGATAACTGAGCCATATCACAAAATTATAACATTTTAATTATAGTGCTAATATTACAAGAGAACCCCCCTTTTAAAAAAAAAAGCATTTCCATGTACAAATGGCAATTAAAAATACATTAGATTAATTGCATTCTAATTTATAAATATATATATTTATATATTTAAACATTTTAAGTAATATTTCATACAAAAAAAGCACTAACATGCAATGAAAGAATATAAAGGCTCTACTGGATTGTACTTTACAATTAGTGCCTAATGATGCTTTTAATAATCCAATGTAGAAAAATTCAGTGTATACAATTTCTTTTTGAAACCCTGTTACAGTAAGTAGTTACAAGACAAAAAAACTTGATCTGGAATGAATATATATTATATATTCTCAGCCACTAGAAAATAGAATCTCAAATGGCATGATGATTGTAGTGATTTAAACTCAGAAGAAGCAGACAGGTCAACTAATAATCGCTGAAGTGAGGGACTGGTGGTTCCGTTTCTCATTTTCCAAATTTCCAGTTCAGTTCTCCATGTTTCTGCAGTAATTTGTGGTGGGTTGTTTTCACCTTAATCCTCATTAAAATTCATCAGCATCGGCATTTTTATGCAGCTTTCTCCAAAATAAAATACCCTTTGCAGCTTTGACTAACGCACACATTTTTGCAAGCAACCCCCCTTAACATAATACATTTTCATACTCTATTTTCACAAACAGATGCATTTTTGTAAACATTCCTTTGCTTGAGAACTGCATCACAAAACTTGGAGAACTGGCAAATTTCATAGGAGGCCTGTTTCGGCTCTTGTACGGTTCCAGAAAGTGCAAATTAGGACCTTCATCTTTAAACGAAAAACTGAATCAAAATTCTCCCCATGTAGCCTTGTTTTACTGTTTGCCTCTTTTCCTTTCACAACCAGCTGATTCTCAGGGTCTTGGGATGCCCCTTGCAAAGCATCCCACAGCCCCTGACAACCAGCCCGCACTCTGCGATTACCAAATACAAGAGCCAAATCTTTATCTAGCCCACACCTGATGTCATGTACCGCCTCTGATGCAGTGCAAGTAGGCGTGGCTTGGCCAAAAGGATCTCATGAGTCAAAGGAGGAGGTCTGCAAGCCAAAGTTTCCACACCAGTTTTACTTGATCCAGTCAGTAATGGTTGGTGCTCATTGGGGCTGGTAGGGCAGAAGACAAGGAGCCCAACAGTAGGGGGAGCTAGAGCCAAGCGAGTCTAATTTTGTCAACATCCTCACCCTTGCCAAGTTCCACAAGGGGGCAACACCGAGACCGAGGAGGAGGAAGTTGATAGCCAGTTTACATCTCTCTCCCTTGGGCTGCTTGTTAGTAAGACAAGCAGTTAGAGTCTGTTTGCAGTTTTGGGGGGGGGGGGATGCTCCATTTCACCTAGAAGATCAGCCATGCCTGGATCCAGTGGTATATTCTCTTGTGCAACCCCTTGCAAAAATTGGAGAGAACTGTACAAGGGCAGCAGCCTCAGTTTGCTTGTAATGCACCAGTTATCCCAACATTGAGGAGCTGCAAAATTCAGAATCTGCACTCATTTGCTCCACACAAACACACACACAATACAGTGTACAGGGTTAGCAGAGGGGAAGGAGAGGGGTTTTTAAAAATAAAAAATGACCTGACTACAGAAGCTCTGTAAAAAATGCAAATAAGGCCTCTAATTTTATGCACACTTTAGGCACGTGGTCCATCAAAATGAGCGGGTGAGAAATTATGGACTTGTCACATAGGCTGAAACTTCAGCTGAAGCCTGGCTATTTTATCCTCAAACTCTTCTCAAACCGCCTGAGGAAGGACCCACAAAAAACCAGCCCCATCTCCTGAGGAGGAAATTCTGAGCTGACTTTTCCCACAAGTGACGAGGGAAATATACAGTGTGGGGTCCAAGGCCGCTGGTTCCTGGGGCAGAGGCACTGTGGGGGCAGCCCAATCTTTTTATTCCTTCCCCTCAGCACCTTGTTCTGAAATTTTTTTTGCCCCACTGCTTTATATGCAGCATTAAACACCAGGGACCTGTGACTCTGTAGGTGCTGCGCTAGGGAACAGGGTGCATAGGTAATTTGCAGATTGCGTGAGGGTTTGGTTCTGGAGGTCCCCACATAATTGCATAATGTCAGGAACCCCCCTGACCTGCTCCCTGTGGAACCATCCCTGTTCGGAGCATCCCAGAGCTCTCACACACAACCTTCCCAGAGGCTGGGAAGCAAGGCAGAGTGGCTTATAAAGCACTTTTCGGGGCTATCCATTTGTTTATTTTCCCGCCAGCTGCATAAAGTTGCAATCGCGTAAGCGAAATCACTGTAAGCTGCGAGTTCCTTGGGCATATATGTGTGTCCTATATCCATTTTCTTACAACAACAACAATCAGAAGAGAGGGTCCTATGAGGAGCCATGCTGGTGAATCAACTAACACACACATCCCATGCACACAACCACAGCCGCCCCCGAGCACATGTCAAAGATGCAGAATTTGGACAAAGTGCTGTGTGTGATTTGAAGGGATTGCTTCTGACTGCAAGGCCTTTTGTTGCGTCTCTAGTTGCTACTGAAGCGCATGTGGTGCCAGTAGAGCAGGGCTGGCTGCAGAGCATGGCTCATGCGTATCAACATTCATTATTTTGTGACTCTTCAGCAGGCAGTTTTTAAGAGCCTCCATTTTGGCCTGAAACAAATGTCTAAACAAAGTGGTTGGAATTTTAAAGAACCCGAACATGTTATATAGATGGTTTGCTTTTTAAAGAGTTTAGCTACTTTCCTCCCCCCGGCGAGATTTAAGCAACCCTCCCCCCCACTATACATTAACATTCAGAGTGTCAGAGTTTTAGGTCTTGTGGCATTCCTCACTCAGTGAGTCTTCTGCGACAGTTTAATGGTGACTGTTTTCACCTCTGTGTATTCAGTCAGAGCGTATTCACCTCTGCAAGGAGAGAGAGAGATACCATGCTGTACATTTAAAGCATTAGGATAGCTCTTCAACAGTTATTTAAATAAACATTCACATTATTAGTATTAGAAAATGTTTAGAAAATAGTGAAATATAGTGTATCTACTTTTATTTTTATGTTTTTAGGCTTGATATGTTATTAATAACTTTTTTTCTGTTAGGAGATTGCAAAGTGGGTGAAAAGAGAAACAAACCAGAAGAGGAAGTTGGGGAAAACCCTGGAGGGGAGGGAGGGAGGGAGGAATATATAATAAATATTAAGAAACTGAGATGTATGTAATGAATGAAAAAGAAATATATATATATATATATTTAAAGCATAGCTCTTCAACAGTTAAGGCTTCCCCCAAGCTGGCTTCAGAAATGAATAAATGAAAAGGCCCCTTTAAAAAAAAAATATGAAACAAAACTACTTACAATTCTCTCCCGTTTCCTGACATTTTAAAGCCGCCAAAGGGAGCTTGTGCAAAAAGGGAATTGTAGCAGTTGATCCTATTGGAGGGGAAGAAAGCCAGCCCCGTTAAGAAGCAAAGATCTTAGCAACATACATTACATTTCAGATTCCCCAAGCACCTTTATACATCAGCTCAGTGAGTGCAGACCCCTGTGAGGCAGGTGTGGTAAACCAAGCCTGCAAGACATTTCTTAGAATTAAAAGAGTTGGAAGGGTCGTTGAGGACCCTTAGTCCAGCCCCCTGCAATGCAGGGATATGCAACTGTCCCATACAGAGGTCGAACCTGCAACCTTGACGTTATCAGCACCACGCTCTAACCAACTGAGCTATGAGTCACCCACAACCCTCTTTGCCCATAGCAACATAGAGGTCACTGCCTATATAACAAAGGAAGAAGGGCAAGGTGGCATAAAGGTCAGCGCAGTGATTTGCCCACCTTGAATATTGAGCAATTTTTGTTAAAAAAAAATCTCACCAGACTGTCCCAGACTGCAGTGCCGATGCCAGCGTTAGGGCTCTATCCAAATTCTTTGTAAACACAGCAGCTGTGAGCCCATATTCTGTGCTGTTGGCTCTTTCTATCACTTCTTCTATGTTTTTGAACTTCATTATGGGCTGCACGGGTCCGAAAATCTGCAAACACATTATAGAATCAGGGCCGTCAAGTGATGAATGAGTTTAGTTGAATCAATCACCTGCCTTTGAAATAAAAGTTGCTGATTACTTTGACATTAGTGCCTTTTGGGATACGGAGCATGCGAAATGCTGCAAATTTCACAACAGCTGTAACTCTTTGACAGGTCGCCACATCCCTATTCCTTCTTACAGTGGCTCGTTCGTTTGATATTACAGAACTCAAAATGAGAAGTGATACAAATAAGGCGAGACACAAGCCAAAGTAACAGCAGAAGTCACAAATCTGGCAGTGGGAGAAATGGGACAACAGGAAGGCCCCTTCTTTGGCTCAGTCTAAAAACATCCGCAATTTGGTTCCTCCCCTCCAAAAACCATTTCCTTTTTCATATTTTTATGTAACGGTCTTAATATCAATACACGAATGTGCTTAATGCAGTGCACTACAGTAATACACAGTTACATTTAATACTTTACCCATTCTAATCAATCATATTGATTCTTATCAATTGTCAATCATTTAGATATCATACAAATCCTAAGAGGATAAAGTAAAATAAGCTGGAAAACGAATCTTCTATTTCATAGAATCATAGAGTTGGAAGAGACCCTGAGAGTCATCTGGTCCAAACCTCTGCAATGCAGGAATCTCAGCTACAGCATCCATGACAGATGGCCACCCAACCTCTGCTTAAAAACCTCCAAGGAAGGAGAGTTCACAACCTCCCAAGGGAGACTGTTCCACTGTTGAACAGTTCTTACTGTCAGAAAGTTTTTTCATCTATGCTATTTAACAGGCATGTCAACTCTATTGGACGGATTCCTCTACAGCCCCACCTAGCTCCCCCCTCCATCTTGAGGGGGCATTAGACATTTGAAGCAGTATCCTGCCACTTTAAGCAGTCATGGCTTCTTCCAAAGAATCCTGGGCCCTACAATTCACACAACAATTCAACAGTCCATCCGTCTTTCAAGGGAACTCTTGAAATTGTAGCTGCCATGATAAACGTGGTCTCCCAACAATTCTCAGCAAACTGCACTTCCCTTCAGTCCAGAATTCCTTCCAGAATCTTCAGCTGTAATAGTTTCTATGGAACACTTTGTTTAACTTAACAAGGGCAGTATTTAACAGGCTTTGTTATGCTTAAGCTTAGGTCAAAGTGTTCCACAGAAAATACTAGCTGAAGATTCTTGGCTAAAGCAATTAACCTGAAGGAGTCTGGCTGACCACTTTAGCAAAAACAATTAAAAATGGTCTTTTTACATGTGCAGAAATTCCACCCTAGAAATATAAAATCACAGGCTCAGAGGGGAACCCAAAGGTGACATCTAGATGAACACCCCAAATTTATAACATGACAGTCCAGTGTTAAAAATGTCTGTACCTCCTCCTTAGCAATGCGCATGTTGTCTGTGACCTCTGAAAATACGGTTGGCTTTATGAACAGGCCTCGGTCTCCCATGGCTAAACCACCACACTCCAGCTTGGCTCCTTCTTTCTTGCCACTTTCTATCAGCTCCAAGATTTTGTCAAACTGTTTTTGGTCAATCTGTCAGAAAGGGGGTAGGGGAGGAAAGCAGCACAATTGTTGTGGGCAGAGATCAACGAATTTGTCGTTTTTGTTGTTCTCTCAGTTTCTATTTTTTTCTGATCTTAAATTCACTTCACAGTTCTGCATCAATTTGCAATTATTAACAAAATCCTTATGAAAACACATCAGTGTTTTAGTGCAGTTTTCTCCAGATCAACACACTTTTGTATGCTTTGAAAGCGGATTACACAAATTCGTGGAGGAGAGGGCTGTTGACAGCTACTAGCCATGATGGCTATGTTTTCCTTCCACAATTGGAGGCACCAATGCTTCCTGGAAACTATGGGCAACTTTAAATATTCAACAACAGAAGAATACAACACAACAGTTGGCTTGACAAAAATCTGCTGTGCAACACAGACTATGGCACGACAACATCACCAGAAACCTGCTCTTGCACATCAGCCTTCCACTGGTGTAAAAACATCCCACCGGTGGAACAAGTATACTGCCACTGAGCCTTGGGCTTGCTGATCAAAAGGTTGGCAGTTCAAATCCCCGTGACAGAGTGAGTTCGTGTTGCTCAGTCCCAGCTCCTGCCAACCTAGCAGTTCGAAAGCACGTCAAAGTGCAAGTAGATTAATAAGTACAGCTCCAGGGGAAGGTAAATGGCGTTTCCGTGAGCTGCTCTGGTGTCAGTGTTCCGTTGCGCCAGAAGCACATGCTGGCCACGTGACCCAGGAAAACTGTCTGTGGAGCAGACAAACGCTGGCTCTCTCAGCTTGTAAAGCGAGATGAGCGCCACAACCTCAGTGTCGTTCGCAACTGGACTTAACTGTCAGGGGTCCCTTTACGTTTACCTTTCAGTTAGTGCTACTTTGGATACAACCCATAAAAGCCAGGGCCAGTCCAGTTCAACTGGGAAGTGGAGTTGCCATTTCTGGACTAAACTTGGAGGGCGAACCACCACCTCTAACCACGCTGGGAAATATCTTTGTGAACTTATAATTACCGTAAGCATAATCCTTTGTTATGCAATGGGCACAGTCAAGGGGATCAAGAGGGTTATTTTACTTTTATCTCCCCCAGAGGATTTACTAGCACCATAGATTATATCCTAACATCTAATAATATGCCATCTAATTAAGCGAGATACCTTCAGGATAATTCCCAGAGCTGAAAGTGACCACTTTCCACTTGAGTTATCGCTGACATCATCCGTTTCTCCTGCCTTTCCTAAATTATTGGATGAAACGGAATATCTGATACTTGCCATTTGCTGTTCCACCTCAGGAAAGGAGGCAGCAAAAGATGGGCATTTTTTAAATTAAAAAAATAGTTTACCTGAGGTCCTTGTTCAGTTTTGGCATCAAATGGGTCCCCCACGAGCCGCTTCTTTGCATACTCCACGCTGCGCTTGACAAATTCTGGGTACACCTGCTCTTCCACAAAGACTCGAGAGGCAGCTGTGCAGCACTGCCCTTGGTTGAAAAAGACACCCTGGTGGGCACAGTCCACTGCCAAGTCCACTGGAAAGCCAGAAGAGAATGCAAAGAGAGAAAAAGCAGGCTGTTATAAGCAAGACAGACCATTTTACCGGTCTCTGCATCACCTACAGCCGACATGGTGACCTCTGTTGGACATCCAGTGGTCCAGGGTTGCAGTGCGTCAAAGACCTGTTACTGTTTCTGCAGTAATGTCCCTGTCTCCAGTGTCCTAGAGCCATCCAAGCAGCACAGTGTTGAGCTTTTGAGCCATTGAGAAGAAGTCTTCTCACCCTTTGCTGATTACAGTCAGAGTGAAAGGAAACAAGCTACTGAGGATAGGCTCCTAGGGTCACTCTGGAGAAGGCACACAGGAAGAACACCAAGGAGTTGTTGTTCTGTGTGCTCCCGAGCAAAGCATTTAGGAACACATAAGGTGCTTCAGTTTCAGGAGAACGGTGTGCAAGTTCTGTTTCACATAATGGAACTTCAAGGAAAATACTTCTTGAGTCTTGCCAAAATAAGGTACTGGAACACTCCAAATCATTCACCCATGTACGTGCACAGAAAATAGTAGATTTAGCTGAAGGGCAACACAGAGAGACCTGCATTGATTGTTGAAATGCATCCCTAATTTTTATTAGATAGGTATAAGATTATTGAATAACCCTTGAAAGGTGTGGCTATGACTATCGTGAAGGAACCCTGCACTTCTGAATTTGCCACTACACTACTGCTTACACCAGTGACATAGCGTGGAGAGGCCACAGTGGTAGTCGCCCAGGGCACAAAACTGTTGGGGGGCGCAACAGCTGTACTGCCTCAACACAGCTGTGTGCTTCCATCGCTGGGCTCCACTGATAACGGCTTCTCCATGCAAACCAAAAAGTGACCTCTCCAGACAACAGAATAACTCTTATCTCTGTGGCTGCGATCTCCTGCAGTTGAATGTGCATGCATACTCCATCTGTTTCCCTCCCTCCTACCCTCCTCTGGTAACCCAGGCTATGGCACTGGCTTACGGTGTCTCATTATTTGGTCTTCCCTATTCCCCCCCCCCACTTCCAAGGCCTTCTCCAAAGACAGTACAGACTTTCTGCTTGACCCTTTCAATATTAGCACTATTGGCAGCAGCCACACTCACAGTCAGCATCCGCACAGACAATACAGGGATTTTTCCCACCGAGCTCCAACGTCACCCTCTTGAGGTTACTTTTCGAAGCCGCTTCTTTGATCAGCTTTCCAACCTGCAGCGGGAAGAAAGCAGCCATGAAATACAGGCAAATCACCCTTTTCTCACATGTGGAAATGGAGCAGAAGGAGTTTAAAATAACCAGGCCTTTGGCTGATTGACATCTGATGCCCTCTTAAAATATGTTGAGGAAGGGAGGGAATATTGGGTTGTTTTTATTATGTATGTATTTTGTGTTTTTTATATTGTTTTTTTCTACTGTGAACCACCTGAGATCTATGGTATACAATTATTATTATTATTATTATTATTATTATTATTATTAAATAATACAGAAACTATGTTCTCCTTTGGAAGCACCCTTACAAAGCCATCTTACCCATGGCTACTGGAAGGAAGCACCATGAAATTCCATGGGACTTCCTTCCAAGGAAGTAAGCTTAAGAATATTTTCTAGGTTGCAAACCCTGTAGAGATATCTTTCAAGCAGACCTGCAAAGGAACAGGACTCAAGTTACTCAGTTGTGGGTAAAAGTAGCACAAGATCCAGAGATTTTTCTTGGCTGCTTTCATTGTCTGGTGAAGGTTCAAAAATGTGGGCCCATCTCACAATGAGAAACCTTGCCAGCTCTCCACACTAGCTCTGTGCCCCAATCTCTTTTTCTCTGCACACCTCTTTACAACGTTGTGCTTTCGTAGAGCATCTGCCTTGCATGCAGAATGCCCCACATTCAACCTCCAGCACCTCCAGTTAAAGCTGGGACAGAACCCTGCCTGAAGTCCTGGAAAGCTACTGTCGGTCAGCATGGAAAGTACTAAGCTAGATGGGCCGACGGGTCTGACTCTATTTAAAGGATAGCACAAGTTGGTTAGAGTCGCAGGTTCAATCCCCATTTAGGACAACTGGACTAAATTAGGGCTGCCATACATCTGGAATTTCCCAGGCATAGCCGGGATTTGTCCGCCAAAAATAGTGTCCTGGTGGAATTTTTGAAAATTGCTTAAAATGGCAACCCATGTCAGAAGTGATGATTTTTGTGTGAGCAAATTTCCTTTAAAAATAGCTTAAAAACAGGGTGGTGGGTTTTTTGTTTTTGCAATAAAAAGCTCAACAACTTTGGCCAAAACAAAAATAAAAGGCTGAACAACTTTGCCAAAAAACAACAACCACCACCAAACAAAAAACCAACCAACATTTTTGTCTGGATTTTCACTTTTTGAAATATGGCCACCTTAGACTAGATGATCCTCAGGGTCCCTTCCAACTCTGCAGTTATATGATTCTAAGATTCTAAGGCAGCTTCCTATGTTCCCCTATGGCAGGGGTCAGCAACCCGCGGCTCTGGAGCCGCATGTGGCTCTTTTACACCTTTGCCGCGGCTCCGGGGCGGATACTAGCGAGGGGAGGAGGCGCATTGTGCGCCCCGACACTCCCCACTGTGGCGGGCGCTGTACTGGCTGTGACGTCGCATGGGGGCGGTGCGTGCGTTAGTCACGCACCGTCCCGATGTCACCTTCCCGCCCACCCACCCGCTACATTGTAAGGGGCTTGTACGCTGGTCACTGCATTGAAAGGGGGCATGTACGCTGGTCACTGTTTTGAAGGGGAGTGAAGAACACACACACACAGAAAAGGTAGCTTGTTAATTTAAAGTTTATTTCTATGAGAAGGAGTAATTCTGAGGGGTCAAACAAAGAAATAATATAAAAGTGACAAAAAAGTTATTTTTATAATGACGAGTTTTGCGGCTCCCAGTTTTTTTTCCTTCGGAAAAGGGTCCAAGTGGCTCTTTTTGTCTTAAAGGTTGCAGACCCCTGCCCTATGGAATAGTCCACAAACCATTGCAGGAACCAGGAAGAGCCATGCCAAGCTCAACCAGTAGGTGGTGTGCCATGCCAAGGTCTTCAGTTGTCCGGCTCTTAGACATTTGAGAGAGACCTTCGGTGCCAACAGCAATTTACCATAATTATTCAAGGTCATATCAAGCATGCAGGGAATGCCACCGCAGATGCCGCTGGCAGTGCGCCAGGAAGGATATTAAGCTCTGAACCACAAACATTGAATGCACGGGGCGGATCAGGGTTTCTGTTAAAGTGGCATCTGACGAAATCACTGTTTAGACTGAATATAACCAAGGTGCAGTTTGCAAATATATGTCATAACGGGGGCTGCATGGGTGACGTGGGTGTATGAACAAACCACGCAAGAGCAAAACACATTGGGGTGAGGGCATGCTAGAGAACTGTGGAAGGTATGGAGAAATGGAAGGGATGTGGGTGGCGCTGTGGGTTAAACCACAGAGCCTAGGGCTTGCCGATCAGAAGGTCGGCGGTTCGAATCCCCCTGATGGGGTGAGCTCTCATTGCTCAGTCCCTGCTCCTGCCAACCTAGAAGTTCAAAAGCATGTCAAAGTGCAAGTAGATAAGTAGGTACCACTTCACTTTGTGAAGAAGTATTTTGTCTGTCCTGAATCTTCCAACATTCACTTGCTGGTCCCAAGTTTCTCATGAGCAGAGAAAAAACTTCTCTCTGCCCATTTCTCCATAAAGGTAAAGGGTAAAGGGACCCCTGACCATTAGGTCCAGTCGTGACCGACTCTGGGGTTGCGGTGCTCATCTCGCTTTATTGGCCGAGGGAGCCGGCATACAGCTTCCGGGTCATGTGGCCAGCATGACTAAGCCACTTCTGGCGAACCAGAGCAGTGCACGGAAACGCCGTTTACCTTCCCCACCTATTTATCTACCTGCACTTTGATGTGCTTTTGAACTGCTAGGTTCGCAGGAGCAGGGACCGAGCAATGGGAGCTCACCCCGTTGCGGGAATTCGAACCACCGACCTTCTGATCGGCACATCTTAGGCTCTGTGGTTTAAGCCACAGCGCCACCCGCGTCCCTATTTAAGGAGATACTCTCTGGCAAATGGCGGACAGAGTATGCAGAACTCAACATTTTTCTTGAGACTGCCTTGTTGAGAATATGAAGTTGCTACATCAAGAACTATTCATATACAGCAATGCAAAGCCTGCCTATTCGCAAGCCACACCACCCAACAAAAATTATAGCTGCTCTCACACTATACTTTTAAAGCATATCCTTTCTCTCAAAGAATTCTGGGCACTGTAGCTTGTTAAGGGTTGCTGAAAATTGTAACTCTCTGAAGGGTAAAACTACAGTCCCCAGAATTATTTGAAGGAAATAGCATGCTTTGAACGTACCTTAAAGGTATAGTGTGTACCCGGCCTCAGAAAATGCTTCCAAAACATACCGGTGAGAGCCAGTCAAAGGACAGGAAGCATCCTATGTAGGCTTAATTTCTGTGCTTTCCAGAGTTCACTAACTGGGGGTTGTAGAGTGGCAAGAAGAGAGGCAAACACAAATGTTGAAAATCACCTACCTCTGTTGACCCAGTAAAAGCTACTTTGTCAATGTTAGGATGTGTAGAAATAGCAGCTCCAGCTGTGGGACCATATCCCGGCACAATGTTAACCACACCTGGAGGAAATCCTGCCTGGGGAAAAAAAAGATGTTTTATTCCAGAGTCAGAATAAGAAAAATTAGGGCATGGCTTCCATTCATTGCATGGGAGTGGGGTGGCATGCAAAGGAGAATTTGTGCCCTTTGTTAGGGTGAGTGGGTGCCATTAGAGTATGATTTAGGCACAAAGAGCACATCCACTCCTTGCCAGTCATCAAACCTCCATTCCTTTGGAATTACAGGGCAGGGTCTCAAAAGTCGCCCCCCCCCCACTGAGTGTGTAAAGTCACATAAGCTCATCTGGCTGGCTTCTACATTACTCACCTCCTTGACTAAAGAGCCAATGTATAGTGAAGTAAGTGGGGTTTGCTCAGCAGGTTTAACAACTAAGGTGTTTCCACAACACAGAGCAGGTGCCATCTTCCAAATCAACATGAGCAATGGGAAGTTCCACTGAAAGAGAAGACCATGACATTCACCTTATGAGCATGTCATTGCTACCATTTCTATGCTTTGACTCTTGTTCTAGAAATTCAGAAGGCGGCTTCACAATTGTATCATTGCAGCCTCTTCCTCCAAAAAACCCCACACACTCCTAAGTAGCATTGGCAATTCCTGCACACTGAAGCTGAGTTTGTACCACATGTACATATTGTTATATACTTTGTCAAGTACTTATGGCCCCCCTTTTTATATTAAAACTGTGATTCTTCTCTAGACAGAATGTGTAGTTGCCTCTTCTGTTGACGTTGTAATACTTTATCCTGTCCCCAGGTGTCACTGTAGTGCTACTTGTCTCAGCATATACGCAGAGAAACAGAACCATACCAGCAACACTGGCAGATCATAGCCAAGTACCAATACAATGGTACTTCTGGTTACATACTTAATTCGTTCCAGAGGTCCGTTCTTAACCTGAAACTGTTCTTAACCTGAAGCACCACTTTAATGGGGCCTCCTGCTGCTGCCGTGCCACCGCAGCACGATTTCTGTTCTCATCCTGAAGCAAAGTTCTTAACCCGAGGTACTATTTCTGGGTTAGTGCAGTCTGTAACCTGAAGTGTATGTAACCCGAGGTACCACTGTACGTCCATTAAAGAAAATAAGACCACAGAGCAGCTGCTCTTAAAATCCTAATCGAGGGCAAATGAGACAGATCTTCCCAGCTCTGTAAGACCAGAGGGAATCTACAGAGGAAGGAAACTATAGGTGGGAAGATAGATCAACTATGTGAAAGGACCACATGGAAATGTGATGTTAAAAATAAATAAATCCACAGAGGTCTCGATTCCCTTAGCTGAACACATGATTTGCATGCATAAACATTTCAGACACAATCCCTAACAATCCCTTTTTAAAGAAGGGCTGGGAAACCTGTGATCATCTCAATGTTGGACACCACTCATCAGCCCTACTCAGCATGGCCATTGATGATAGGAGTTGTAGTCCAGCAACACTGGGAGGACCATAGCCTTGGTTCTTAGGTAGAACTAGGAAATAACCTTGGCCTGCTTGGTTTGAATCCACTCTTCTAGACTAGTTGGAGTACTAGTAGCTCCTATGGATGGAAGGACCTGTCATTTTTGGTTCTCCCCATTTCTCATTTTTCCAATCTTCAGTTCTCCACATTTTGCAGCAATTTGCAATTTATTTATTAGTTTATTTAAAAACACACACCATGAAAATCTATCAGCATTTGAGTGCTTCTAATGCATTTTATATGTAGTTTTGACTAACGTACTTAGCTTTGCAAGTAGCTGTCCCTAATATTGTGCATTTTTGCAAATTATTTTCACCAATAACCATATTTTATGCAGAATTTAGATAAGTGCAAATTGTGAAGGATAGCTGTGTTTCAGGCTCTCATATTGTTCCAGAAAGTGCGAATTCAATCGATTCAGCTGCAAATGTGGACTGAATCAAATCTCTCCACAATCGCTAGTAGCTCCTTCTAATTCTTTCATCTGGCCAAAGGGAGGCAAAAAATAAGTTCAACCGCAGTAGAGTCTCCAGTCTACCCAGTGAAATTATGCATTTGTTTTCCTGGAGACATCAGATGTCAACCCTAGTCTAGTCTAACACTATACTGGCCACCTCCCAGCAGTGGTAAGGAAATATCCCAGAGTGGTATTTTATTCCAACAGCTGTGTAAACATTCTCAGCCTAGTTACAAGCATCTTCCGCCAACAAAAATACCTGTTGTAGATTTAAGTAGAGTTAATTGCGGGTGGTGATCTTCCCCAGCAGCGTAATCAACAGAATTGGCCATGATACGCTGGATTAACCATTATGCTAAGCAAGGGACAGAGTTGCGCCCCAGCCACTCCAAAGTCTCAGCTGCAGTGCAATTAGGTGGGAGTTTTCCCTAATGCGGAAAAAGCAGCTCCTAGCACTAGACTCTTTATATCGCCTGCAGCTCAGAACGCAGCAGCTTCTCCCGCTACTAAGGGGTGTAGTTCAGTAGGAGAGCATCTACTCTACATGCAGAAAGTCCTAGCATCTCCACATAGGCCTTCTGAAACCCTAGAGAGGCTTCCTCAACCTCAGCCCTCCAGATGTTTTGAGACTACAATTCCCATCATCTCTGACCACTGGTCCTGCTAGCTAGGGATCATGGGAGTTGTAGGCCAAAAACATCTGGAGGGCTGAGGTTGAGGAAGGCTGCCCTAGAAGGTCACTACCAATCAGTATAGATAAAATTGAGCTAGATGGGTCCATGGCTTGACTCTGCATAAAGCAGATTCCTATATTCCAATGGAAGGGAAGTAGAAGTGGACACGCCCAAAATTGTGAACAAAGGAAATAGGACCTTACTAGGGCTCAGGGCTCAGTTAACAGGCCATACACTGGCAGTTACCTAGCAGGCCACCACCAATATTTTGATCTCTCTGTGTCAAGACTGAGAAAAGCAAGGCATTTGTATCCTAAACCTCTGGGGAGAAAGGTTATGATCCAGAATGAGAAACACAACTTGTTTCGAAGTTTAAAGGAAACCAATTTACTTCTCAAGCAGCCACATTTGACATTGTGAGCGGAGATGAGGATTTTATTTATTTATCCATTCTTCAAAGCCACTTGGAAGTGTGTTGGCTAGATTGTCTTGAAATCTCAGATATTGAAGGAAACATTAACATTATTCACTTTAACAGGCAAAAATCAAGATGTCGGCAGTACAGAATACTTCCCCAGAAATGCAGAAGACTACATTCTACTCACCGGTGTAATGGCACCACAAACTCCCACAGGCTCATGTCGGGTGAAGCAGACAAAGTTTTCATCTGCAAAAGTTTTGAGAATGCAAGTCATCTACCTATGATGGTTGTGATGTGAATGATCCCATAGGATCAAAGATCCAATGCAGCTGGGGAAAGCATTTTTAATGCTAAAAAGCACACCCCCTTGGCTTTTTTGTCCTTGGAATTGCTGTTTACTACCCATAGCACCCATAAAACCAGTACAGTACTCCCAACCAGATTGGGACCCTACAGCTGTTTCCCCACCAAAATAAAGAAGGCTGGATTACTAAGCCTGGTTCATACATCATGCTAAACCATGAGTTACTATGCTATGGTTTATAGAACCATGGCTTACCGTTATATGTAAATCTGGTCCAGAGGCTTCACTATGGTTTGTTTACTGCCAACAAACATCAAGATGAAGCATTGCTTATGAACCTTGGTTTGTTTTAACTAAGGCTTGGTGTTATGTGTAAACCAAGCACCCTTCCTTAACTATGGTTTGTTCGACCACTCCATCCCAGACCAGAATACAAAATCAGGAGGCAAGAGTAGTTGAAAAACCAATTTTTGATAAACAAGGCTATGGCTTCTTAAACAGTAGCTTCATATTATGTGTGAACCAGCCCCTTCTTTATACCTCTCTCCTAAGCATATGAAAGGAAGATTGTAGCTGAAAGCCCAGCAACATGGCCAAACTATGGTTTGGCAGTCAGCAGTAGGCTTCAGGCAGCCTGTCTGAAGTGGATTTCTAATCCTGGTTTATAGGTAAATTATGGTTTCCTGTGAACCAGGGCAAAGAGGAAGGAATCTGAGAACTGTTCCTGTGAACCAAAGCCATATGCTAGCCATGGCTAACCTCACTACAGGTTACTTCTGTTTGCCAGACCTATGAAGTTACATGTATAAGACACAAGCTCCAACTTACCCACAGGTATAGTCTTCCCCTGAATTTTATCGGCCCAACCAGCATAGTATCTAAGTGTCTTTATGCAGCCTTCAAGGTCAATGAAAAATGCTTGCAGAAATGGTTTCCCTGTGTCCATTGTTTCCAAGGTCTGGAATGAAATAAAATGTCAATTCCCCACTCTATTTGCTACGGGGATATATTACTGGGGATGGGTGAACCTGTCCATTTTGGTTTATAATTTTTCCAATCATAAATTCAATCTACATTTCCACATCAGTTTGCACTCCCCCCCCCCAAGTCCTCTGGAAATTCACCAGTATTTTAGTGCAAATTTCACCTAAAATATACACATGGCCATTTGTAAGCAATTTCCCCTAATATGCAAAGCAATTTCCCCAATATAATGTATTTTTGTATACTTTTTTCAGTAAGATGTGCATTTTTGTGCACACTTTAATCTAATATTTGCCTTTTTGTACACATTACTTGGCTGGAGAACTCCACCGCAAAATTCAGAGAACTGCAAATTTTGAAAGATGGCTGCGTTTCATTTCACATATTGTTTCGGCGAGTGTGAATTAAACAGTTCCCTTTTCAATGTGAACTGAATTGAATTTCTTCCATTTCTCTGCATACTACTATTGTCTAATCCTCATGAAGATTTTTCCCCCTTCAGTGGAAGCAGTAGGTGACCAAAGTTGAAGGGTAGGCCCTAACATTAGACAGAGTGAAGCAGCTCACTTTGGGTGCCATGAATATGCAGTAATAGGTAGTTATTGAATTTATTATTATTGTATTTTTCTTTCTCCCAGAGAGACATTTGTGGTATTGTCTGTCTTGTATCAAAGTAACATAGCTAGTCTGGATTACGCTAAACCTTTACTTGGGGAGAGTGGGGAGGGGATCATTTAATCTTTTGGCCATAAAAAGGCCACACACTGATGCTGTTTTCAGATAAGTGATATTTTAGAGGTTCTCAATAAAGCATCATTTAGTTCAGGGATGGGGAACCTGTGGCCCTCCAGACAACTCCAACTCCCATCATGGCCAATGGTCAGGGTGGATGGGAGTTAAAGTCCAACAACAAGAAGTTCCCCATCCCTGTTCAGGTATATGTGTCTCCAATGATGGAGAAGCAATATTTTACAACTCTGAGTTTGTGTATACATTAATAGGTAGGTTTCTTCAGGCTGGAAAGGGCAAAGGTTTCTACCACTCCCCCTCACTAATTCCACTCTCTCCTGAAACCTAGATTTTACTACCTGGTCTAAATGAAGGAAGGAAGCTAGCTGAGAAGTTGTAATCTCATAAGTTGCCTAACCTTTGAAACAGAGCCAAGAACTCGGTAGCCAACCCACAACCTTCTAGAAGTTGCTGGAAGGCATCTCCCACCACCTCTGATTATTGGCTGGGAATGAGGAAGGTTGAGGTCCAACTACATGTAGGGGGCACATGTTGGCCACCCTTGGTACTGTAGAACCAATGACCTATGCATTGCAGCATAAGCAGGCTCTTAACGTTTTCTGCCTTAATCTCCAGACCAGACACACTACAGACATCACTTACCGCCAACACCACTCTGTCTCTCTCAATGAGGTCGGCCAGCTTGTTGAGGAGCCTTCCTCGGCTCACAGCATCCATTTGTCTCCACAAAGATCCTCTTTGGAAGGCCGCTTTTGCTGCCTCTACTGCTTTATCGACATCAGGCTACCACACAAAAGACCAAACACAAAATAAAAAGAAACACACTGTTAGATGCTTCCATAGCCCAACACCCTCCATATGTTTTGGACAACAATTCTCATTAGCCACAGCCAGCACAGCTGTAGTGTCTGAAGCTGATGTGAGTTTATTGTATTTTTCGCTCTATAGGACGCACCTTTTCCCCTCCAAAAATTAAGGGGAAATGTGTGTGCGTCCTATGGAGCGAATGCAGGCTCCTTGGCTTCAGCGATAGCAACGTGAAGCCTCCAAAGCGCAGAGGGAGTGCACCGACCCCTCTCGCTCTCCAGGCTTCAGGGATAGTCGCCTGAAGCCTTCGGAGTGAAGTGCGAGTTCCCGCTGCGCTCCGGAGGCTTCGGGTTCCTTTTGCTGAAGCCGGGAGAGCAAGACTCTCCTGGCTTCAGCAGAAAGGGAGAGCTGCGCAGCACCCCTTCAGCGAAGCGGGAGGAGAAATGGAAGGGGCTCCGTTTCTCCTGCCGCTTCGCTGAAGGGGTGTTGAGCAGAGAGGGGGAGAATTCCCCCCCTTGTTCTCCCCCTGTAAAACAAGGTGCGTCCTATGGTCGGGTGCATCCTATAGAGCGAAAAATACGGTAACTAGTCAAATGGGGGGGGGGAGCTTTGAAGGCGATCAAAAATCACTCAGGGGCGATATAGCCCAGAGGTTGTGGTTTAGCCACTCCTGGCCTAGAAGATAGTAGGGATGCACCAGGCAAACCTATTCTGGAGTTTCCAAATTCAGGCCAATCAAATGGAAATATCCACCCTATTTGTGAGTGGTGAAATTCAGCAGAGGGATTTTGCCAAATATTCTTTTGAGAGAGAAAAAGAAAATTCTCTATGTGCACAATTTTTAGTTTGCTCAGTTCTGCACGAAACTAGATGCTCCTACTAGCAGATGAAGAAAGCAATGGGCCCAGAGAGAACCAGGAGTGGGGCAGGGCAAGCCCACTGAAGGCTTCTTCACCATCAACAATATTAAAATATATATTTGGTTGACTATGTTCAAAGTCCTTCACTCTATTCGTGGGCAGAGCAATTTGGAAAGAGTTGTCAAATATCATTGGCAACGTTGAAATCCTCCTGCAGTTTGTGGGAAAAACCTCAAAAAGGAAAATTTATCTGAAAGTTTCTTCCAAATCATGTTCCAGGTGAGGAACTGGAAGATTCTTTTTCTTCCCTCAGTGGCTAGCTGAAGTATATTTCCACCCACTCAAAACAGTGAACATATGAAGGTACTGATTGGGTTGTCCAGCAAAATACACTTCCAACTCTCAAAGCATCATTCGTAGAATCACAGCAGGTGAACAATCCCTGCTCTGGCATGTGACTACATTTGGTTAAAAAGTTTGGCCTTCATAGCTCCCAGAAGATTATTTGAATACCTCTGTGTGGTCCAAGATACTGCAGTGTCATTATTTACGGAAATGGAGACACTCAGTTGAAGTTCCTCAACGGAAAAGGTCAGGCCCACGTCAACTCTCAGTTACAAGACTACGAAGGAGGCCCAAAGCAAAAAACCGCACAGACAAGGAAACTATGGGTAGGGCAGACATTCCAGTCATAACCCACCCAGTGCTTAATCAGTGTTATGTTTCATGGATGTTGCAATACAGAGGCATAAACATGCGGCTAAAGTGTGGGGTTAGTGAATGGAGGACTAGATCCCTCACAGCTGTCACCAGGCACTGTTAAATGCCTGCTGAAAATTTTTTCTATTCCACCTGGTCTATGCAGGAATGCGTCCTTCCACAATGGTTAACTGAGGTCTGCTTTTATCTTTTGTTGTTTTCATTGTATGCTTTTGTGTTTTTTATTGCTATAAACTGCTCTGATTTTTCATGACACAGTGGTATACAAATATTTTTGTAAATATATAATATACAGTGGTACCTCAGGTTAAGAACTTAATTTGTTCTGGAAGTCTGTTCTTAACCTGAAACTGTTCTTAACCTGAGGTACCACTTTAGGTAATTGGGCCTGCCGCTGCTGCGCGATTTCTGTTCTCATCCTGAAGCAAAGTTCTTAACCCAAGGCACTATTTCTGGGTCAGCGGAGTCTAACCTGAAGCGTCTGTAACCCGAGGTACCACTGTACAACAGAGCACAATAAAATTCCGTAAGACAATCAGCAAGCAAAACAGTGTAATATTTGCAGGGTGGGTGTGGGGGGTATATCTCTCAAAGACGCTGTACAGATCCCTAATAAAAAGACAGTGGGCAAAGAGGATTTCCATAATGTCACTTATTGAACAATGCAGGATGCACCATTATATAATTGCAGAGTTGGAAGGGTCCTCAAGAGTCATCTAGTCCACCCCCTGCAATGCAGGAGTCAAAGCTAAAGAAACACTGGCAGATGACCATCCAAGCTCTGCTTAAAAGCCTCCAGCGATGGAGAGTCCACCACCTTCCCAGGCAGTCAATTCCACTGTCAAACAACTTTTACTCCCAGGAAGTTCTTCCTAATGTTTTCTCGAAATTTCATTTCATGCAATTTGAATCCATTGGTTTTGGTCGTCCCCTCTGGGCAGCAGAAAACAAGCTTGCTCCATCTTCCATGAGACACCCCTTTAGATATTTGAAGATGCATATCCTATCGCCTCTAAATTTTCTTTTGTCCAGGCTAAATGTACCTAACTCCCTCAACCGTTCCTCAGGCGGCTTTATTTTGCAGACCCTTTATCGTCTTGGTTGTCCTCTGCACACATCCCAGCTTGCCAATATCCTTTTCAGAACTGGATACGGTATTCTAGCTGGAGCTTAATAATAATAATAATTTTATTTATATCCCGCCCTCCCCAGCTGAAGCTGGGCTCAGAGCGACTAACAACAATAAAGGTAACACAGCATTCTAAGATCAATTCATTCTAAAATCATGCTTCACTAAGGCAGACTAGAACTCGAACTCTTATTCCCTTGATTAGGACACTATACTTCTGCTGCTTTAGCTTTTTTTGGGGGAGGGGCTGCTCCTCATCACCCTGTTGACTCATGTTAAGCTTTTGGTCTGCTAAGACACCTAGATCCTTTTCACATGTAAAATTGGTTTGGCTTTCTTGCACAGAAGTCTACTTCTGATTAAAAGGAAACAGATTTTCTGTGATAAGGAAAGCGATGGGAAACTGCAACAGCAGGATAACAGTTGCCTGATGTGATGCAAAGTCTCCTTTCCCCACTTTAGGGCATAAACCTAAACAAACCAAGCCTATTTAATTATTTAATCTTTTATTTTGCCTGTCTGTAAATCTTCATTTTTATGTGAGGTAACACTCTCTTTCCGTTAAACAAAATATGAACACAATGGGAAGCTTTCTTCCCTCTCTTTTCCCTTTTTTGCCACTTTCCCCATTTTTAATCAGATTTAGGTGCAAGTTATGTAAAATGAGAGTCTATGTTGTTGACTTTGTTGATGGAATGTATGTATAAAAGCTCTTTGTGCCAACTTGACATTAAAATAAATAAATGCATCTCTCTCTCTCTCTCTCTCTCTCTCTCTCTCTCTCTCTTCAAATAAATCAGAACAAATGATCAACAACTGTTGTGTGCAAACAAATCAGGACAATACATAAGTGGCCAACTCCACACTAACTGGTAGCCCCTTAAAAAAAATGAAAGCATGCCCAAAATGAGCTCAAGCCATTACGGAGTCTGCAGTGCAAAAAATACAAATGGCAGCCACTTATGTTAGTCACATAATTGGTAATTTAATGTATCTAATGATTAATGGTGCCCCATCCACACGCCTCCTGGGAGGGTTGAAAGCCAGTTCTGGCTTCTTCCTTCCTTATGCCCTGCTCCATTTTGAAGATATGGCAGCAGGAGAAAACCCTTTAAAGTGAACCCTATCCCTGTCACGGGAACTCTGCCATTTCAAGGGGAACCAAGTACAGGCAACTCCCCGTCTGTGCAAAGGTGGCATTCTGGGTCACTGTATGTTTGTGTGAAATTGCGTATAACTGGAACACCTGCTGAAAAAGCCTGCAAACACCCTGTTCCACCCCGTCCCCCATTTTGTGATGTTTCCAGGTCACTTCTGGATTCAGCGCAATGCGCGTGTGGTCACATGCATATCAGACACACCTAAAACGGTTGCTGCCTGTAGAACAAGAAGTCACAAAGAAACACAAGCATGCCTTTTCTTATTTGTTTGCGTGAGCAAGCTGGAGTTTGGGCTGCCTAACTAATCTGCAGGAGGCAGTGGAAGAAAGAAGTGCCTGGCGTGCTCTGGTCCATGGAGTCACAAAGAGTCGGATACGACTAAACGACTAAACGACAACAACAACCCCAGGTTGAGACACTTGAGAGTCCCATGGACTGCAAGAAGATCAAACCTCTCCATTCTTAAGGAAATCAACCCAGAGTGGTCACTGGAAGGACAGATCGTGAAGCTGAGGCTCCAATACTTTGGCTACCTCGTGAGAAGAGAAGACTCCCTGGAAAAGACCCTGATGTTGGGAAAGATGGAGGGCACAAGGAGAAGGGGACGACAGAGGATGAGATGGTTGGACAGTGTTCTCGAAGCTACCAGCATGAGTCTGACCAAACTGCGGGAGGCAGTGGAAGACAGGAGTGTCTGGCGTGCTCTGGTACATGGGGTTACGAAGAGTTGGACACGACTAAACGACTAAACAACAACAACAAGCCCAGGTTGATCGCTCAATTGCGTTGCCCAAATGCACAAAATGTAGCTATCAACAACCAGGTCCAAGGAAGGAAATCAAACAAACCTTGTCCCCCTCTTCGACGTCACAGATCTTCTCGGCCTTTGAAGGGCTAAAGGTAGGGAACTTCTTTCCACTCTTTGATTCATGCCATTCATTGTTAATAAATATCTAAAAGAGAGAAAAATAAAGGTTTCTGCATCATGAGAAGAATAAGCTTATCTTCTCCCCAACATGCATGTTTTTCATGCGCAGGTTACGGTTTTTACGTTTTGTTTTCATTTTTTAAAAAAATCAAGGAGCATTTTATCGTGCTGCTGCCTCTTGACGTCTTGATACCAGCTCACAGTTGCAATGTAAGACTGCACTCCTCTGCTTGCTTACTAGGCAGTTACCCTCCAAGTCAATATGTACGACCTTCATAGGACAGGACCTTTGCAGCACAAGGGACCAAAACATTCAACTTCCAGGTACAAATCTCCATGTTGCAATGGGAAGTTGTACAAGTATGGACATTTTCAGCTCATGTGGCAGATGCACACCCAATACAGTCCAGATGGAGATGTTGACCCAGTTCACATGTAACACGAAGTCAAACCACAGTTTACTGTAAATCTGAGTGTGTGGGTGCCAAGAGAGGAGATTGAAGCTGCTTTGCAGCAGGAATAATGCCTGAAAAGCATAAAAAAAGCTGTGATCTCCTCACGGGGAGTGTAAAGACTCACATGTTCATTTTATACCATGGTTTGGCTTTGCGCTACATTATAAGTGAGCCGACAAGTCCCACTAACATCTAACATCTGCACATTTTACCATAAAAGGACTCATCAAATACTGAATATTCATCTAACATGTCATCCTAAAGAATATTTGCTGCCTAGTCAAACAGATCACACCCCTGTTGGCATTATTTTCACAGGCATTGCTTTGGATATACCCGTCAAACTTAAAATGCAACCTTTTGGTCAACCGCAAAGGCCGGTGAACATTCCATTTTAGATTGATTTGTTTGATACTGATATCCATCTTACCTTTAAAGTCAAGCTCTCTGCCTGGGTAACTCAGCTGGTTAGAGCACGGTACTTATTATGTCAAGGTTGCAGGTTCGAACCCCATAATGGAAAAGCTGCATATTCCTGCATTGCAGCGGGTTGGACTAGATGATCCTCAGGGTACCTTCTAATGCTACAATTCTATGATTACCACAAACTGATCTGGACAAGGTTTATTAACCAGAAGGCAGGAGCTGCTGTGGGACTGGAAAAGACAACCAGCTTACCAAGAATCAGCCTATACACCGTGAGGGGGCTGGGAAACCTGTTCCCCACATCTGGTGTTGACCCAGTTGTGCTTCCCAGCTTGTTAAGGATATCATACTAAGTGTTATTTTGTTATAGCATATGGGTAAGTGAACTGGCACTGTGGTGTTAACCACTGAGCCTTGGGCTTGCCGATCAGAAGGTCAGTGGTTCGATTCCCTGCGACGGGGTGAGCTCCCGTTGTTCGGTCCCAGCTCCTGCCAACCTAGCAGTTCGAAAGCACGTCAAAGTGCAAGTAGATAAACAGGTACTGCTCCGGTGGGAAGGTAAACGGCGTTTCCATACACTGCTCTGGTTTCGCCAGAAGTGGTTTAGTCATGCTGGCCACATGACCCAGAAGTGGTTTAGTCATGCTGGCCACATGACCCAGAAAAACTGTCTGCATACAAACGTCGGCTCCCTCGGCCAGTAAAGCGAGATGAGCGCCACAATCCCAGAGTCGTTCGCAATTGGACTTAACTGTCAGGGGTCCTTTACCTTTTTTTTAAAAGTGAACTGTAAAGATGAGAGAGGTTGGCATGGAAGGGATGTTCCAATCTTAAAGTTCAACATCAGTTTGCTATTATTTTTTAAAGACCTCATTGAAATTGATCAGCACTTTAGTGCTAATTTCTCCCTATAGTCACATTTTTGCAAAACTCTTTCCACAAACACAGAGCAGCTACTCAATTAGAAAAATCGACTAATCATATTGACTGGACAGTCCTTATATATGCCTACCTACAAGCAAGTCCATTGAGTTCAATGGGACTTACTCTCAGGTGCATGGGATTACATCCTCAAAGCATATGGGTAAAGCAATGTAAAGCCCTTAGCGGTTTTGACAATTAAGTGGCATTCACATTTTATTAAACAAAATAAAAATTAAGTGCCGTGCCCAATTTGTTGGGGCCTCTTTTTATTCAAATATTTTATTAAAAATAAAATTAACCCTGTGAGGAGACTCTGCAATGTAAATTACTCTGCTACTGCGCTATATCTGCACAATTCACACAGGAGTCTGATAAGAGTGCTTCTAGGATATTGTTTACTACTATGCAAGTGCTGTCCCAACGTTTCAGCCGCTTGCCATTTAGTTTTCTTTTATACAAAAATGCCAGTGGCAATAAAATATCCTAATAAATCCCACTTTTTGTCACTGGGCTGTTGTTGCTTTTGGTTTGTCAATGTTAACTTATAGGATTTTTTTAAAAAGTTCCTTCCCTCTTCCCTGCCCGCCAACAAAAACTGATCTAGGGAAACAGACTTAAGCACTCTTCTTTCTTCTGACACAACACACATGGCTTTGTTTTGGGACATTTTTCTACCACAAGATATGCTGGAATTTAGCTTGAGGTAGAAAAATGATCCCAAAAAACCATTTGTGTTATGTTTTCAGAGGCCTGGGCTTTGATCTAACAAACCAATTAATTGGTTAAACAGCCCTTGCAGAAATGCTTTAGCTGAGCAACTGTAAAAACATTTGTGTTAAAAAGCAATTCAGAGGGGATGACTGTCAAATTAATTTTTTTAAAGATCAGCATAAAACAGCAATATACCAGCGACCCAGTTTTTAATGAAAGCTTATTTGCAATCACACGGATGTTTTTACAGTTGTTCGGGGAGGGGGCTACTCATAATGTGATGAGCTACTACAGTATTGCATCACACAGAGTCCATTTCTCAGCACCTGTTGACATTCTCTTCTGCTTTCTTCTAACTATTGGTTCTGAACTGCAATTCCTCCTTTGCCCAAAGTTGTTTAAGCCACAAATATTTTAGAAGAACCTCTTTGAAAACCTATCCAAACAAATATGTATCAACTCAATGAATTGAAATGTCTGTTCACACAGTTCCAAGTCAGGGCTAGCACTAACATGAAGCAGGGTGACGAGGCCTTTCCTTAAAAGTTGACAAAAATCATGTTTTTCCTGAAGTAGCTGCAGCATCAATTTTAGGACTGGAGTGTGTCTTAGTAGAACAGATCCAAGACCAGAACCAAATACTTGCACAGATGCCTTAAATTCACTTTGCAGTAACAAAACACACCGCTTTGAAGGGTGAGATCACTATCCTAGCATCAGTTGTCAGGAATCGCCATTGGCCTTGATGGAATTTGTACTTGAGAAAGCCTGGGGAGGCTCAGGTACCATGTCCTTAAACACTTGAGAGAATTAAGCATCTTAAGCACATTTGCTCCTGATTTCTATAACCCTATTAAAAGTTCATTAGATATCCACTATTAAAAAAATGAAGCATCCCTTAAATTTTCATGCAAGCTTCCTGAATTCCTCTTCTTTATTGGAGACAAACTTTCCCCCCTGAAAATCAGCTGCTGATTGTTATCTAGACTCTAGAAAACAACTTTGCTCAACTCATTCCTATTTACACTTATTTTCTTCCACATTTTCTACATACTTGGATTTAACACAGACGTGTTTTCTAAATACGTAAGACCACCATAATAATACTTGCAAGGAAACAGTTTTGCGGTTGACTCAGAGGTATATATGAACAGTATGGAATGATTTTGGGGAGCTGTAACTGATTACCATCATGATTGACAGACTTGTGCTTATAAACTGATTGGGGGCACCCACTATGGTTGGACTCCAACTCCCATCAGGCCCAGAAGGCATGGGCAATAATCAGGCATGATGGGAATCACAGACCCTCCAAGTCTTCCCCTTTTTCCAAGCATAGCCCAAGATTTACAGAAACCATCCTGGCTTGTGATTTGATCCCACAATGTCCTGCTTCTCGTTAGGATGTCCTTATTTCATCAGAGAAACGTTGGAGGTATGGTAGTATGCCCCAATTTTTATCGGAGGGTATGGAGTTATGTGAGCCCCAAGCCAAGAAGATAAGTAACTATACAACCTTTAGAAGACACATGAAGGCAGTCCAGTATAGGGAAGGTTTTTTTTTAATGTATAATGTTTTCTTAGCTTTTTATATACAGTGGTACCTCGGGTTAAGAACTTAATTCGTTCCAGAGGTCCGTTCTTAACCTGAAACTGTTCTTAACCTGAAGCACCACTTTAGCTAATGGGGCCTCCTGCTGCTGCCTCGCCGCCGGAGCACGATTTCTGTTCTCATCCTGAAGCAAAGTTCTTAACCTGAGGTACTATTTCTGGGTTAGCGGAGTCTGTAACCTGAAGCGTATGTAACCCAAGGTACCACTGTATGCTGGAAGCCTCATCGACTGGGCAACACAGTCAGATGGGTGGAATATATATATATATAATCATCATACAACATAAAATGTTGTATTTTAATCTTGTTTTTAAAGCTCTATTTCAATCAATTTTTTTTATATTTGGTGTTAGCCGCCCTGGCTGGGGAGGGCGGGATATAAATAAAATTTATTATTATCATCATCATCATCATCAGGGAATAGGATGCCCCTATTTTCATTGGAGAAATGTTGGAGTGTATGGAATCCTATGTGTATCATTCTTCCATTCTGTTTGATTTTTGAGACGGTCAACATCTGTTGTTTTCCACATTTCGGGATGGATACCCAAAATGTCAGTGTTTTTAAAATTTATGTATATATCTATATGCCTGTACATTAAGGAGTATGTGTAGAAGCAGGCCTCCTTAAAGACAGATATATGCACACAACATCTACTTGTACCTGTCTCCTCACCAAGGTCCTATGTTAAGCAAGAGAAGTTCCTTTCTTTATGGCCACAGTAGGGATGTCAGACAAACTCCACTAAGTTCACATTTAAAGACAAACCTTCCCAATTTCTACTTTCTGATAGGAAAAAATACACGATCCAAACTTTGCATGTCTATGACTCTGTGAAATGCAGCTATCTTTTGGAACAAGCACTTTTCTGAACTTTGCCGTGCTGTTCTCCAGCCACGTAATGTGTACAAAAATTAGTGAAAATCACATAGAAAAATGTATTAAGGACCATTGCTTTGCAAAAAATGTGCACCATTTTTCAAAACGACATACAAACGTGTATCGTAGAAATTTGCACTAAAATGCTGGTGAATTTTCACGAGGGCTCTCTAAGAAGAAAATCCGCAAACGGCTGTGAAATGTGGAGAACTGGACCTAAGAAACTAAAAGTGAGAGATTCTCCCAATCCCTAGGCAAGCAGTTCAACATTTCCTGGAAATAAGGCCATTGTTCACATCTTATGTGGCTGATGCGTTCTGCAATGCACATCTTACAGGAACCAGCACAAGTTGTGAGAGGCACAAACTCTCCAGGTTTGAAAGCAAGACCCACAAGCTTTAATAAAGTGATCAGTTAAGGCTGCAATCCTAGCAAAACATTTTGTTTCCCAACACAGAGCAAATGGTACCTCTAAGCAAGGTATATACAGTGGTACCTCGGGTTACATATGCTTCAGGTTACAGACGCTTCAGGTTACAGACTCCACTAACCCAGAAATAGTACCTCGGGTTAAGAACTTTGCTTCAGGATGAGAACAGAAATTGTGCTCTGGCAGTGCGGCAGCAGTGGGAGGCCCCATTAGCTAAAGTGATGCTTCAGGTTAAGAGCAGTTTCAGGTTAAGAACGGACCTCCAGAACGAATTAAATACTTAACCCGAGGTACTACTGTAGGTCCTCAGGCCAGTCACATTATTTTGGCACTTGAAGCTAAAAATCCCCCAAGCTCCTCTCCCCATTCCCCAGAAGTTAAAAAAAAAGCCAACCCAATCTGAATAATAAAAAATTAAAATGACTCAACAATTTACTATACTTTCATGACACCCTAATTCAGTTGCCTGAGTTAGCTGCCTAATTTTACCTAATGGTAGGGCTGGCTGTGACCGACTGCATTACTTGCCATGAGAACGTGCTAATAATATGGCAGCAGTCTTTTACTAAGGAGTCCGAAAAGGCCTGAGACCCCCCGCCCAACTCAATTCATCAAGTCTGATATAATGGATCTGAAAATGTGGGTTGTGGCTTTTTTTTGTCCCAATGTGCCACTGAGTGGTTATACTTCAAGAAAAGGAATTAGCTCCTCTCGATATGAATCCCAGAATCTGAAGTTCACAGTGGTCAGTTACTACAGCCCAGATCAATTCCGCTAGCTGAAAGTCCTTACTAAAGGCTGCAATGTGTGGATATTGTAACTGAAAGTGATTAGTTCATCAATAGAGGCCAGACAGCTAATTGGGGTTTTTAAAAAGTATTTTAAGTGGTAAAAGTCTACAGCTTGCTTGGCGTAACAGTTAAATCCATCTTCAAATAACACACTCCTTCTTTCTACATGTCCCAAGCATGCGTGCAAAAGACTCTTTAAACTTTCTTGATCAATTTCCCTGTTTTATGACTAATGCACTTTATTTTCGTATAGGTGGAAGTATCCATGTTCCATTTATTATCCGTGCATTCTATCATTTTCAAATAAGTGAGATTATACAAGTGCCTTTAGTTGCACATGCTGCCTAACATTGCACAGAAAGAAATACACACTTAGCGATTTTCAGCAGAAGATTCACAGCAACCTTGCACTTTAAACATCACCTTTATGTTGTTTTTCTTAATTAGGGGTAGGCTCAATTTCAGGTATTATTTTCTGTTGGGACCTCAGATTTAGACTCTACTTTGGGACGAGATCTTCAGACGAATACGTCAAGGAGAAGGAATAATTATAAATTTCAACAAGGCAATATTGCAACTGAATTTTAATCACGCCTCCAATTTCCATGTCTTTTTTTAAAAAGTGACGTTCTATACAATTTAAGAGCTGGAAATGTCGCCAAATAAACTCTTCTAACTCTTTTGAGTTCTATTTTTGCTGGTCCTGCTGTCAATCTAAGTTGTAACTGGTAGATGCAGTTTTCATTTTAGTGGCCAAATACAGCAGGATATTTGCATAAATGCAAAAACCTGGCACAGACTAAAATACCAGCAATCTAGATCATATGCTGACTATTATTCTTATTTTAAAAGTGAGTAATACTACAGCTACGCAATTCACTACGGGAAAGCGCTCAACTTTGCAGTCCCAGCTGTTCAATTGAGTCCTGAACAGGATCAGGAATAGGCTATAGTGAATGATGGACTGGCTCATTATTTTAAATAATTACTTACATGAAATACGATTCATTCTGCTTCCAACATGGCTACAGGACCAATCACTCCAAGCAAGCCTCTTGAAGAAAATGTAAAAAGCAGGGTAGCATTTTGCTTCTACTAATTCCTAGCCAATATTAACGCCCAGAAATTTTACTATGCTTTGAGATGCTTCACTTTCATTCATTCTCACAGAGGCACACTCTCTGTGGGCTAATGCCACTATCATTCACATACTGAACAGAAGGTATGAAATAATACTATGTGCAATAGAGTGGTACCCCAGTTGAAATCACACTTCAATCAATAGTTTGTGTTAAACAAGCCATTAATTTCACATCTTCAGCCTCCCTCCCCATTTGCAATAAGGGTATAACACTGACCTACCTTGCAGGGGTGGTTTAAGGATTAGCAGAACACTATTAGAAATGCAGCAATATTATGGTACCAAGGTACAGGAAGAACATGGATCTAGTCACGTCCGTAAAATACATTAATGGAGAACCAAGAGAACTTGAATAACTTTTAGACATGCAAACCTAGTTCCACTATGAGCGCCTCCCCCGGTACAAAACTTTCCAATGACTGGAGAAGTCCTTTCCTATGAAGGTGAGGTCAACTTCCACCAGGAGCAGGGCCTTTTCTGCAGCAGCCCCAGACTTGTGGAACATAATATACATGGCCTCATCTCTGCTAGCTTTCCAAATATGGCCATAACCTTTGGAAAGTTAACTGCTCTCTTCTCTGGCTATGGATTTCATTATTGCGATGTTTCTGTTTTTTGTTGTTTATTCAGCTGGTATGTCCTCTGCTTCAAGCATTCAGGCTATGAGGGATGTGGCTTGTACAGCCCGAACAGCATTATCCATGCACAAGAGGGCATTGGCAGGCTCAGGGGGACCCCAGGGTTTAACAAAAGTACATTTTGGAAGAAAAAAAAATTCCCCAGGAAGCAGGGGAACTGCCCAAGATTGCCCAATGAGGACAGAATGTTCAGTGGCCCTGAAACATTGACTGCTGAGGAACTGGAAAACTAGATGGAGGGAACGTAAAGTTTGTGCATGTCTTATTGTGTTGTTTGGTTTGTGAGCCTCTTCTGATATTAATTATGAAAAAGCAGCACATGAATACTTTTAAACAAGAAAAGATATTCTAACTCAGCTATGAAGTTACCAAGGGCAAATCTTCCAAGTGCCCAGCCTTCAGTTTTCCCTGCTGTAAAATGAGCACAGTGGCAAGGTAATCTCATGCAGCTTTAGCTGCCCACAGCATGCTTGAGATGCACTATATTTATTTAAAAACAAATGCAAATTCTCTCTCTCTCTCTCTCTCTCTCTCTCTCTCTCACACACACACACACACACACACACACAATTCTTGGAAAACACAACCTAAACATTTTACTGTCAACTTTTCTACATTTCCTACTGTAAGATGCAGGGCCATTTATGTTTAGTGGCTTTTATCCTGGAGCAACTTTTAGGTGTGCATTCTTCTCTAGTCTACTCCTTTGAGCAGGTTTTTGTGGGGTCGGGAGAAAGAGAGAGAGATTGACCTCCTAAGGACTAGAGACTTTATTTCACTTTAAAATCCCTCTAGTTCTCCCACCAGGGAGAGAAAAGTAGACAGAGAGGAAGATAACCACACAGAGCAAACATGAAAAGAGAAACCTACCGCTGCCCCCTTACCTTGGTGTACTTGATCTCCAAGTTCCTAATAGGGTGAGGAAGCGGAGGGGTCGTTTTCTTCTCTGGCTGCCCGTTTTCTACGGTCCCATTGATTGCGGCCATCTCGCAGGATGCCTTGGTGCGGGTAGTCTCCCTCTTCCTTGCAGCCGACGGAGTCCTCCTCGGCAGGGTGAGAGGCAGCCGAGCTCGCGCAAGCCTTTCCCAGGCTCTTGCCTTTATGAATTCTCAGCCTCCAGCGGGAGTCCCGGGCCGAGGGCTCCCATTGGCTGCGCGGCTCTAAGCCACGCCCCGCTGCTGGTCCATGCAGCCGCTCGGAGGCAGCAATTGACAGGCAGCAGGTAAGGAAGGAAGGAAGAAGGAAGAGAAGGCGCGGGTGCGAGGCGCGGGACCTAAGCAGGTGCGGAAGATCAGCTCCAGCTTCCTCAACAGAAAGGGGTGTGTTTGTATACATACATATATGTATGCATGCGCACACACAAAATGTCTCTGTTTCTCTATCAGCCTCTGCCAACCGGGTTGTGTACTACAACTCCCATCAGCCACAGCCAGCTGGTGCATATATAATAAATACTGTGGATATGTATGTACGTGTGTATCCTTTTTCTCCAAAGAAGCAGCAGCTGTTTCATTTATCCCAGCTGTGCAGCCCCCTGGATTTTTTCATTCTTTCTCTTCCCCACCTCCCCCCACCCCTTGCAAAAATAATACAATGAAGGTAATTGTTTTAAAAAACCTCCTGGAAAGGCTCGATGGGCTGGGAATGAGTTAAGAAGCCCCATCCCCGTTTGTGTGTTGTTTTTTAAAAAAATTGCCTTAGAAATGAGCACACGCAGCCTCAAAAACTCAAACCTCCGAGGAGGTCAGCTGTACTGCCACGCAGAGCGTTTCATGTCCATCTAGAATGGTGCTGCTTGTGTGTGTGTGTGTGTGTTTAAAGTTCTCCTTTTCTTCCCTATGATCACTGCAGCGCGATGGAATGAGCTCATATCAGATTAACCCCTCCTAATCAAAAACGTGCGTGCATAATGTCCATCTCTCTCCTCTCGCCGTGGAAGAGCAGCGCGAAGGAAGCCTCGCTTGTTTGCCTTGGCTTGGCTGGGCTTGGCGCGCCTCGGGCCCCTCCCGCCCGGCTCTGGCGCTCGGCCCACCAGCTGGATGCTCCTGCTCCCAGGCCAGCAGGACCAACAGCGCGGCTCTTCTGTAAGGCCCCAGGGAGCGACCCGCTGCAGCCACTATCAGCAGGGAGGAAGACTCGGAAACGTACACGCCATAGATTTAAAACACATTACTCCCCCCCCCTCCAGTATCATGGGAACTGTAGTTCACCCCATTCCCAACAGCCATGCCAAACTACAGTTCCCAGGATTCTTTGGGGAGGGCAATGTGCTTTGAATGTATGTTGTGGGTGCAGTTTGGGGTCTGCCTACTGTAAAGCATATTCGAAGCACATTTTCCCCCACCTCGAAGAATTCTGGGGCACTAAGGGTTGGTGGGGGACGTGGGTGGCGCTGTGGGCTAAACCACAGAGCCTAGGACTTGTCAATAAGAAGGTCAGCGGTTCGCATCCCCGCGGCGGGGTGAGCTCCCGTTGCTCGGTCCCTGCTCCTGCCAACCTAGCAGTTCGAAAGCACGTCAAAGTGCAAGTAGATAAATAGGTACCGCTGTGGCGGGAAGGTAAACAACGTTTCCGTGCGCTGCTCTGGTTCACCAGAAGCAGCTTAGTCATGCTGGCCACATGACATGGAAACTGTACGCCGGCTCCCTCAGCCAATAAAGTGAGATGAGCGCGCAACCCAGTGGCGTAGCGTGGGGGGTGCAGGGGGGCCGGCCGCACCGGGCGCAACATCTGGGGTTAGGGCAAATCCACAGGTTAGGGGGCGCAAATCCATGGGTTAGGGGGCGCAAATCCACGGGTTAGGGGGCGCAAATTACTTGCCTTGCCCTGGGTGCTGACAACCCACGCTACGCCACTGCAGCAACCCCAGAGTCGTCCACGACTGGACCTAACAGTCAGGGGTCCCTTTACCTTTACCTTTAAGGGTTGGTGGGAACTGTAGACTACAGCGCCCAGGGTTCTTTGAAGGAAAGGTTGTGTTTTGATTGAGGACTTGCTCTCGTGTAGCAGTGTATAAGAAAGCAAGCCTTATGAGGAACGGTTGCAGGAGCCTGGAAAAGAGGCGACTGAGAGGAGCTGATCTTCAAATATCTGAAAGGCTGTCACATGGAAGATGGAGCAAGCTTGTTTTCTCCTGCTCTGGAGGGTAGGACTCGAACCAGTAGCTTCAAGTTACAAGCAAGGAGATTACAACTAAACATCAGGAAGAGCTGTTTGACAGTAGAACAGACTCCCTCGGGAGGTTGGAGACTCTCCTTTTTGTCAGCATAGGGTGGATGGTCATCTGTCTTGGATGCTTTAGTTGTGACTCCTGTACTGCAGGGGGTTGGCCTAGATGACCTTTGGGGGTACCATCCATCACTACAATTCTATTAATCTATGGCAGCTTTAGAGTATGTAAGATTGTTTAAATATCAACATTTCAGAATAGACTGATTTTTAAGTATGTGAGTTACTTTTTTCAATGCACCCCAAATTAAAATTGCTCAACATTTACAGCATGTAAGAGTCTTATTTCCCCATAAAGATTAAAATCTGTTGAGTTTCATAATATCTAAGAGTGAAAGCTGCTTTTGCCCTCACTTGGAGTCCAATCCAAGACAGATTTAGAGGCAAACGACCCTGGCAATTGCTTGGGCTGTCAGATTTGGGGTGGGTTTGTCTGGTGGGTCTAGTCTCTCAAACCACTCAACAGCTGAAACAAGCAATGCAACAATTCACATTTACTTAAAAATGTGTGTTGATTCATTAGAAGAAGGAAAAACAACCCAAAAGCTACAGTAGGACAATAGATTGATTAGGACCATCCACAATGTCACAAAAGAAGGAGCAATTTTTTGAGTGTTCCAGAGCTCTTCTGCAAGATTCCTGCAGATCTCGACACCTTGCTCACTATTTGCTAATGGTTTGGTTGATCCTAATAAAGACATTATCCTGCTACAGCTTCCAGAGTCATCTTCACTTGCGAAGCTGGCAATGTGTGACTTAACATTTATGATGTATGAGCATGATTCATGTGAAATTTACAGCTTCACTCCCTGTTCAGAAAGCAGCGGGGGCCTAAGTGATTGTGGTCAGATTTATGTGTGCTAATTTTTTTGGCAGAGATACCTTGTTCTTCATATTATTTATGAGTCAAAGTTGTGAAATGGGATTTTAATGCAACTTTGAAAAATGTATTCGGCAGTTGAACAAATGGAAGAGGAAGAATGAAAGGGGTGTTACTTGGTCTAGGGCACCCCTCGCTCCATTGCCTATTTTTCTGCAGAAGTTACTGATCTGAAAGTGTCTCCTGATAAGCAAACTTAGACATCAAGTGACTCATGCAGAGAGACAACCGGGGGGGGGGGCAGTTTCTTCTTAAGGCAAGCCATTTGGCTTCATATCAAGCATGGTAGAACAATCTGATGCAAGGGCATGACAGAGTTAACTCTGTTCAGTGAAAGCTGATTGGAAGGATCTGATCGCAGCACAGTTGAATAATACAGAGACACAACAGGGAGCCTCCTCTTCAGGTTTGCAGAAGCCTTGAATGATCTGCTTTTAGTCCTGCTGGCCACATGACCCAGAAAGCTGTCTGTGGACAAATGCTGGCTCCCTAAGCCTGAAAGCCAGATGAGCGCTGCAACCCCATAGTCGCCTTTGACTGGACTTAACCATCCAGGGGTCCTTTACCTTTTTACATTGCAGCTTGTAAGAGTGGCTGCCCTTGAAGGAATCTGCCCCCATGCCTCTGCATGAGTCCTTGTTCTGGACTTGCCTCCAAGCTCATACAGAGATTATAAAGCCAGCTGTCATGATCCAGTCACACCTGAAAGAGACACAGTACAGAACTATCTTCTCCAAGGGAAATGAAATGGAAGGAACCATGTTCAGGGCAATAAATCATGCAGAGACCCAGCAGGCAGCTTCCTCTTTGTGGAGGGCAGACACTTTTGGCCCACAAAACTCTTTAACTACAGTATTTAATTAACCAAATTCTCACCACACACTACCAGTTCTCTTTGAGGACATGAAAGGTTTGAACCCACAGTTTGGGAATTACTGCCACAGTGATGAATCCAATAGCACTCTGCACCAGCTCTGAGGCACCCTGGCATGAAATACAGGCCAGTGGTGATCTTTTAGCTTATAGCTGATTTTAATTGTTTTGCAGAGGTTTTAAATAGCTGTTTTAAAATAGTTTTTTTACTGGTAATTTATTCTTTTTGTAAACTTTTTAGAGGTTGTTGTTGTTGTTTTACAAACAAGAGGGTTATAAATTTTATGAAATTAATATGTGTGTGTGTGTGTGTGTGTGTGTGTGTGTGTAAATTTAAATGGAAGAAATGGTTGTTGCAAGGTCTCAGGCCCCAGTGGTCAGAATCCTGCACTCATTCACCATGTTGAGATGGGGTCCTCCAGTATAAGAGATTGCATTGTGGCAGCCAGAGGAGTACCCCTTGCAGGGGAGATCCCACAGCAATAGGTTCTGTTTCACTGCACACCAGTAAGCTTCCAGACCTGAAAAAGCAGCCATTGTACCTATCAGAACAGGTACAGTTGGGGGAGAGTATGATTCACAAGCTGGAATGATTAACAATGCAACCCAATGTAAGTTTGCTGGGAAATTTCACTGTGTTTCACGGAAGATTGCTCCCTACCCAGTGTGTTTGGAAGCACAGCTGAGATCCTGCAGAGAAGGCATGCCTCATTATGTCCTTGTTTGTTTGTTTATGTTGCATTTGTTATTTTCTTCTTCCCGTTTCTCGGAATCTCAGTAATTTCGGTGCTGGGATGTGATACGGATATGGAATTCCCCGAGCCCCACTTCCCATCTGGAGTGGCTAGAGGTGTTCAAGAATGTCCTGGTCATTTGCCTGGTCTGGAAAACGACGATTTTCTTGCCTTGTACGGCATGCAATATTTACTCTTAAGATTTGTTCCAGAGCATCTAGGATGTTTCCTGTAGCTGATATCAAAAGTGGGGCAAAGACTCTGTTAACTGTCTTTGGCTTCCCAACATTCTCCTCCTTTCTCTTTCCTTTTCTTCATTTTTGTGGGACAAAATTGTTGCAGCATGAAGTGCTTCTTTTCCACCCACTCCTCTCTATTCCA